AACACAACAGGTCCGGAGCCATTCCAAGCTTTCGTTACAACCACAAGCTTGGCTGGACTGTGGTATTCAAGTGTGGAATACAGATCACAGCCACAGACAGTTATATATGCTATATCTTCTTTTGAGGTGCCCAGGTTGCAACCGCGCACTGTGATCCGTGTGCCTCCAGACGAAGGACCAGATTTTGGAGAGAGTCCCGTAATCTCCGGAGCACGACTGGCGGACAGCACCTGACCTAAGGTGGGGGCGAGACGCGGTTTGAACAAAGAAAGGGGCGCTAAATTTGTGGCACTGGACGATGAATTACGAGACAGACTGGGACTTGACAATCCAGATTCAGTAGCCTTAAAGGGGTTTGTATCATCCAAATTACGGTCAACTTTAAGCTCAGGCTTGGAGTATAAATTTTCGATCGACCTTGATCCATTCTTAGAAATAGAAGCAGCTTCAATCGAGGCTCTTCGTTTGGAGCGTTCTCGCCCGCCTCCTCCTTTGCGACCCTTTAAAGGTATTATGGAATTCCATTTACTTCCCTCCCCTGCCTTCTTGAAGGAAAGAACCCAACAATCGATGCACAAGTCGCCCATAGCTTGGGAATTTTTTCTCGTCAACGGAATCCATCGGCGACGATGAGCCACGGAGGGGATTTGTGCAAGCGGCAAACTGACTGTGCCAAGGGAGTCTTCTCGATCCATCACTGTGAATATCAATGCAGCTGGTTTGGAAACTTTTCTGAGAGAAGAGACAAAATAAAAAGATGATCTCCTAGATATACATACAATTCGTGTTTTCAGAAAAGATGGTGTTGTCTTCGATAATTTTTTCCTGTTTTTTTTTTTACCTTAGATGTCAGTAAATATGGATATACTTAAAGAAACTGTATTCAATTTGGCAAATAAACTAACTGAGGAGAACTAAGATGTGCTTATCTTTAACGCTTGATTAAATTGAGGCGCGTTTCTTTGGATATGTTTTAGGAGCGACAGCTAAACCAAAGAGCTAACTTTGCCGATCTCCCCCCTCCCTCTCCCCCGCTCTCGCTCCTTTCCAACAAATCAACACTAAAACTATTTTGCATGAAGTAACGTCACCCAATGGCGATCAACGTGTTCTTTAGCTTTAATTTTTTCGTGGCTCTTGTATCCTTCTTGCTTGCAAAATTTTAAATATGTTGCGTCAATAATTTGGTTTCCACTGTTTTTTGGTTTTTGTTTTTGTATTTTTTTTTTTTGGGGGGGGGGGGGTGAACGTCATTGAATCTTCCCAAGCACAAGTTGTTATGAGGAAATTTGGAAATAAAATCGTCTCCAGTTCAACTTAGGAGTAATTGGAGAATGTTACTATCCAGCTTTACTAATGAATCCTCGATCCTCTCCATAATTAATTCCAAAGGATCACAAAAATCCGTAATCACTGTCCGCTAATCTTAAAAGACCAAAATTTGAAGGCAGATGTTTCTTATTAACGCAAATAGTACAGGAATAGATAATAGAAGCAGATACAGTCCCATAAATCTCCATTCTAGTTCCTGATAAATACGAAGTTCTCGCTTAGCACTGCAGCAAGGATAAATCACTAAACTGAAAATAAGCCAGTTACTTAGAAATGCAGAGCTTACATTTACAAAAAAAATTTATAATTTGTAACTCATTTCCCTTTGATAAAAACTGGTTAAGGTGTGAAAATGCACTGTTTGCTTAGCATAAACCTTCCATTATTGATTTACATAAGAAAAGCACGATTTATTTTAGCACTATTTATTTTGACTACTCAATCGCGATTAAAAACGACGGTTCTTATATTTCAGACAGAAGTATTGCTTTTTATCAGGAGCCCATAACCTTAATGGCTCCTGTTTTTATTGATTTGTAGGACCACTTTTCGAATATTCCATCATAATTTTCTCCTTAATAGAAATGAACACAAAGTTGATGATATGAATCCCCCGACGTTCGTATTTTTAAAGAAAAAAAAAATGAAACATTACACTCACATTGTAGTTTCCTCATTCCAAGTGGGATCGTTATCTCGCACTGCCTCTGTGCGATATTTTTGCTTGCCAATGCCAAAAATAACCGATGCATTACATACACCTGAAAGATTACAGCACGATATTAAATTAACAACATGGAAACCTTCGCGAAAAGGGCTCGCATTGATTACGGAAGACACATCGACGTACCTGCTCCTTTCCTTGGCTGTAAATTTCGAGCTGCGTAAACTACGAAAGAAAAGTGAGTATCTTTTACATTGCCCATGACTGGAGATACGTTTTAACAGCGAAACCATGTCTTACCAACAACTTTCACTTCCTCAGGATCCATGATAAAATCTGTCACTCCGTTGTAACTGTTAGGGTTTTACACTACTTTCCAATTTCGCGGGAAGGTAAACGTTACGTCATAATCAGCTTTGTAACCCTGCTATTCGTTATCACGCGCGCCTTACGAGAGGTAGCGTGTAAAAAGTATATAATATATTCGAATTTTTCGAGATTAGGGGCAGACCTGACTACAAATAACTCTTGGGACGGTTAAAAGAACGGCTAAATCTCCGGGCGAGTAAAACTGAGGCAGAGTAATATTCACAAGTAGCTGAGAATTGAACGTAAGCCTTTGGTAACTTTTGGAGGGTATTCCGGCTCGTTTCGTACACATGGTCGCTTCATACCCAGTCGGTTCGTACCCAAATCGCTGATCGATTCTTACTCGTCCTAATATACATATATTCGAAATACCTCACGCTCGAGTGTGTGAACAGATGTCGATTGTTGCGTACGACTCATGAGTAAGTAGAGTATTGCTAGAAAAATACAGACAAAATTATGTGATCAATAATAATAATATTGATTGAGGATAACCCCGTCGGCGTAATAAGCACTGTTATCATATCAAATGTTGTGAAAACTAACGAAAAAAAATTGTTATTGCCTAGCGCAATGTGTGATATTTTTCTCCCATTCTTATGAACGTTCCAGGCCCCACACTCGGTGGTCGCGCTTTAAAAATGGACACCTCGTTCACAAGTTAAAGCTTAACGTGGAAAACATACTTTATCAGTCTGGGTAAGAAACGACCGAGCTGAGTACAAAGTTGAAAAGAACACAAGATATCGAAGGGAAAACTACTTTAAAAGGACGCTAACTTAGCTTCTACATCAGCGTGGTGGCGCTGAAAGGTCGAATTAAAAGAACTAAACTTCACATCTAAGTTCGCAACGAAGAAAGAGACACTTATTAACTGATCAAAATAGGGCTTTGACTAATGTCCTTGATAGAGTGTATGGTATCCGGATCTGTGCCGATTTACCGCTCTCATCGACATGGCCTCCTGAGAGAGATGCAACGATAATTTTTTTCATCTCTCAACGTGGAGGTAAGGGTGTGGAAGATTTCTTGGCAAATCTACCGAGGGGATGGGAAGAATTCATGGTGAATATATGCTTTTACCCGCGGTTCAACAGCTGGAAAGTCCAGTTTCATGAACTCTATTCGAGGGGGTGGGCATTTCTAAAACTCGACTCAGACAACTTGCCCTCACAGTGATGAAAACAGCCAAAAAGTATTGAAAATAATCCGACATTGACCCGAACTCAACCCGACAGGATATTCAAACACAACAACCGTCTAAGAATGGCCGAATAGAATATTAATATTTATTAGGGTATAAAAGGTTTAATACCTCTATTCATCATTCATTATTTAGCTTCCTCCCTTGACACTAAAGAATTTGGTGGAAAATAAAAAAGCTTGAAAATCACTCACGTTTTAGGTGATTTATAATGGTAATTGAACTGAGTGGAGTGCAATTTGGGCTGAAATCATACGCGTGATTTCAAAATTGAACGAGCGCGCAGCGCGAGTTCAATTTGAAATCACAAGTATGATTTCAGACCAAAATTGCACAACACAGAGTTCAATTACCACTTTATTACATCCATTTTGAAATCGCCCAAATACAGGACTTCAAATATTTTGTTACTACAATACTGAGCCAGTTTCAAATTAAATTAATTCATTTTTTGGGAGGAAAAAATAAGAGTTTTGGAAACAAAAGTTGCAAAATTTGCCACATGACACTTCATGTCTTTCATCTTCCTGCAATTTGATCGGTTACGTGAAACAAGCCTTGAAGTCTGATTGGTTGTTTTGTTTTTAGTGTAGCCTCCTCATAAAGCAAAAAAATGGTGCAATTTGTGAATAAATCGCACCAATTAGAGCCAATCAGATTACAGGGACCACCAGTGATTTCAAAATGGGTGTAATAAACGGTAAAAACGTTAACTTGTGTTCTACCCCAGCATTCTGCATCGATTATAATGCCACTATGCCTATTACTTCTAAAAATAAAGCTCTGCATTGCAGGATGTCGGTTAAAAGTTTATTGTTGAGCAAGTTCTACTCAAAACATGGCATCTTTTTCCTCTTCCATTAAAAAGTAAATCTTAACGTCCCCATTGACAGTTTTCACTGTCTCCTCATGTTTTATTAGAAAGAAAGCCACTATTCCATAAGCCAAAGTAGGAATTCCTAAATTCAAAATTTTCAATAACGTGAGGATATTGTTCTCGAGCTTCAGATCCTGCCAAGGTCTTTTTGAGCAGTGGTATTTGATGAAAGGAAAACAGCCTGTTCTTAGAATATGGTAGTTTTGTCCATCAACGAGCCAGTTAAAATGGGACATTGCGAAGTTGTCATTCATCACCGACTTGTAGCGGACGAAGTATGAAGTCCAATTCGGCAGTCCTCTTTGACGTAAATGTTGTGTTAATACCTCTGATGCTTTAGGTTTCAGCTTGGTATTCTGAAAAATTCTTCTTATTTGCCTTACCATGGCTGTTCATGACCCACAGTCACGTTAAAAAAGATTTGCGACGGCAAAATCTTTGGCAAGATAGAGAAGTCGCGCTAACGCATCAGCCATCTTGTTCTTGCTTAGTTCCCAGGCTACCTCCAAATTCGTCTATTTTGTTACCAGATCTCCTCGACCTCGTATTGCAAGTCCCCAAAATTCATGCAGAAAGCGTCTGCCCAGTTGATTTCGTTTAATCATCAGACCACTCGTTTTGCATTCTTCCTGGTGTTAATTGATCTTTGAAATTTCGGTCATGTCACACATGAGCGAAACAGCTCGCCGGCTTGTTTTTCTAGGCACCCAAGCTGAACCATGTTTGATTCATGAAGAAGTTCCTATTCCAAAGCTGAAACCTGGTGAAATCCTAGGAAAGCTCCGCATGGCAACAATATGTGGATCGGATTTACATACATTTAGCGGAAAGAGAAAAGAGCAGACGCCGAGGTATAACCTGAAATGCTATTTTATTGCACGTTACTGTTGATTGAACAAATGGATCTTTGGGTTTGTCCCCCCCCCCACATTCCTTAAGAGCATTTTTTTGTGGGGGGAGGGGAAGGGGAAGGGGTGAAAGCTTTAGAGGCGCTTTTTCTTTCCGTATGTCTATTGAAGTTATAAAGAAAATGGCTCCTAGGTATCTTACCTCTTAAGATTCCAACATGCACACCCAGCACAAGTATTGGGCAACTGTGCAAATTATTGTAAATTGCCTTCAAATTCAAATTTTCAAAGGGAGGGTTCTGTGGATGTTTTTTGGCCCTGAAAAGCCTCATTTGGGAGTGGTCAATTAGGTATACATTACATTACAAATGACTGGTCCTCAGCAAAGATCAAATCATTGTGAGGACAAAAACCAGAGCATGTTTCATTTCCCATCACCTAACAGATCCAATTTTAGAGGGTAAAAAGGAAAATTTCTTTTCATACTTCTAGGAAGGAAAAATTGTAAAACTCAAATTCACTGTCTCGATTTTCATTAAAGGCAGGACTGTCAACATACATGTTTTTGTAGGAATTACTTACACCTAATTTTCAGACTTATATTTTTATTGTGTGTTTGGATCAGGAAAACAATCAATAAGCAAATGTGCTCATCTGGGTTTCCTCTGCACTCAGGCTCTCTCACTCAGTTTTTCTATTCTCTTTTTTCTGTCCTATTGACCAACTCTCTTTAACAAAAGGTCTAGTGAAAGGAAACAAATTGGTCTATGGAGAAAATTTAATCAAAAGTCAAAGAGCAACAAGTAAAACCCAGAGCATCTGTTTGATTACCAGTGGCCATTCTGAGATGCATGCTTTGAAAAACAAAATAAATATGAAATTTATCTTTCTGTCACTAAGGTGCATGCAAGTGTATGACCTTACCTTACCTAATCCATGACCTTACAAATCCTGACTGTTTAAGGTATCAAGGAAGATGAGCTAATACTTGTTAGCCAAATAAAACAGTTATTGAAAACATAATGGAGGAATTTAATATAGGGGTAGATCCAAAAAATTAAAAATGAGGGTTCTACTGTAATAGTATAATATCACTCCATATCCACAACACACATCCTCTATAGATCTGTTTTGTAAAATGTATTTTGGATGGATTCATTTGATAAAATTTTTCCCCCTAAGATATGTGGAATTTTCCACCCTATAAAAAAAAAACATGCGTTGTTGAATACTATGGACCTATTATTTACACAAGGTCTAACCCAAAATGTTGTTTCTGCAATCAGTGGGCTCAGGCTTTCTCCACAATAGGGTTGATTTAATTAATGAAATGTCCTTCAAAAGTTGGCTTTTGGCCCTCTTGACAGTGTTCACAAAAACAAATGCTCAGATAAAAGGTCTTGCTAAATTGAGGATTGTTTAGGCCCTGACATTGTTAGACAACAGCTAAATTTAGTTTAAATAACCAGCCCAATGAGATCATGCTTTTAAGATTATATAAACCTATACAGGTGAACTCCTCTCGTAACAAGCACCTCAAGTCAGTCCATGCTATTTTAATTCCCAGATATATTTATTTTTTAAATATGAAGATTTACTCATGGGATGTCATTAAATTTTAGCATTCTTGGACATGAAGGTGTTGTAGAAGTAATCAATCATCTGCGTCCAGATACTGACATTGAAAAAGGAGACAGAATAACATTTCATGTCATCAACTGTTGCAACAAATGTGAAAACTGCAGGGAAGGACTTCAGCAGAAATGCACTTCTTTGTTCAAGGTAACAATGGGATAAATTTTTTTTTTAAGAAAAGTGTGGGAAGGGGGCATTTGGGATCCGGAGGAGGGCTAGGTCCTGGTGAGTATTTTCAGTCGATTAGTATTCCTCAAAGAATACAAATCTTGCTCTTTCTTTCTTCTCTTAACCCTTTAACTCCCAAGATCTCATTGATAATTCTCCTTACTGTCTCCCTTACAGTTCTTGTGATGTTAGTTTGGAGAATTTGGTCTTGGATCTTCTTGGATATTTTTCTTTATTCTCATCACTTGTCTGCTTGATATTGTATTGATATTATAAGGAGGAATTCTGTCTTGGTCACTCATGGGAGTTAAAGGGTGACTAGCATCTAATTTCTCCTTACAATCAAACATTAAGGTTACAAGGATAAAGGAAATGATCACCAAATAATGAAGCTCTTGATTGTTACACAAATTCTCTCTGTCAGTACCTTAGGAGTTGTATCAAGAACAGTATAGAGAATTAATGCATATATATTGATGTTAGGGTGTAAAGCATTAGATTCACTCTGGGCTCTCATTTGTTTTTATAGTATGGTCACTCTATCATGACAGAAGAATCACAACTTAATGGCTGTTATGCATCCCATATTATCATACACAGTGGAACACATGTTGCAAAAATTCCTGATCATGTCAGAGATAATATGGCTGCCACCGTTAATTGCGCATTAGCAACAATGGTCAATGTTGTGTCTGGACTTACAGGAGAAAATCCTCATCGTGATACAGTTGCCTTAATTCAGGTAAGCAATTATGAAATTTGACAGGCATGCAATGCAAAAAAAAAAGTGCTCTAATGGTTCAATCAATTCAGTAAAACTGTGTAATATCCAACTGAATAAAGGGGGTTAAGTTTTTAAAGAAACTGTGATGCTGCATGGGTGAGAGAGTATAACAAGGTAATTTGGTATTATCAACTGAGTTGATAACTTAAATTGGCCACTATTAAGAGTTTAAAAGCAGATGTTTTTAGTGTTAGTCCTTCATCATTTGCTCCAAGGGAGGGGCTGACACTCGAAACATCAGCTCTGAAACTCTCAAAAAAATTTTAAAATTTCTTTTAAACCTCAAATGAGTCAACTTGATGACTCTACAGCTCAATTGTAACATTATAGGGGTGTGGCCTGTTAGGAATTTATGGCTGTGTGCTTCTTCAAGAAGCTGGCTTCAGAAAAGTTTACTGCTCTGATATTGAACCCAAGAGACTGGAAATAGTTCAAAGGTTTGGTGGAATTCCTGTCATAACAGGTAAGATAGGCTTTTTTACATTTCTCCTTGTGGAAATCCAATGTAAGTGTGATAAAATCATTAGATCAAAGTTAAAGGTGTATATGAAGTGATGTGATATAATTTGATTGCTTTGTGATGATTAAGCTCCTTCCAAGGGCAGTCCATTTAATTAACAAAAGGTATATTATAAATAAGTTATAGCGTGATATTTCTCATCATATCAATCCCTTTTTGGATTTGTTCTTGACATTTCCATTAAAATTTACCTTCCACAGTGTTAACAACAAACTCACATAAGGAGAGACTTACTAGTCCACATAATTTCCAAATTTATAGATGGGAGCCCTCCAAGTGATCCTGGTGACAACTCTGTTGATGTGGTTATAGAGGTGAGGAACTTTTATTACTTCATACTGAAAGTTATGCATTTTATATCAGTTTACACTTTTTGGAATCTAACCCTTCCAACCCCTAAGAGTGATGAGCATCTAATTTCTCCCAACATTTTCACCCCTAAATCAAACATTAAGTTCATGAGAATAAGGGAAATGATCAGAAACTCAAGAAGCTCTTGATTGTTTGACAAGTTCTCCTATTTAGGAATTGTTTAAAGATTAGTATGGAGAACTTGCATACCGATGTTAGGGTGTAGAGGTTTTATCCATTTGGTAACTTATTGACTGTAGTTAGTTGTCTTAAATAATAGAGGATTATTCCAGGCATTGTTTTTCAAAATTCATCAAATTGCAGTCTGAGATGTTGTGTATTTATTTACAGGTTTGTGGATTCCCAGGAGTGATACCTGATGGAATAAGACTCCTTCGCACTGGGGGTTTATATGTGCTTGCTGGTATGGTACATCCAAATTCCAATTTAGATATCACTGGTGAACAGATCATAAGAAAGTGTGTCACTATTAAAGGTAAGTATCAAAGGATGCTTGAACTTACAGTGAGATGTCTACTTGTTTATCAATGGCCTTTTGACTCACTCTCTATTTTCCTTTTTCTTTTCATTGATCATCATCAGGAATTCACAACTATGGTCCACAACATCTGGATGAAGCTGTTTCGTTTCTGTCCAGAACATGTAATAAATATCCATTTGAAGAACTCTTCAGCCCATCTTTCAAACTCACAGATTTTGAACAAGCCTTGCTGCTCTCCAAACAGCAAGTGTTCAACAGAGTTTGCGTGGAGCCCTGAGGGACACTCTTGTTTCCTGAGTCTTTGTTCCCTTTCATTACCTCAACTAGCACCTGTTGCACTAAATAAGGATAACAGAGGCTCTGAGAGTGAGACTGCACTTTATGGAGGGTTGGGTTGGAGAAAATTATCTTTTATTAAATTGTCCCATATTACTGTTCTAGACATAACTATGGACAAAATATCCAGATGGTAAAATATGAAGTCAGGAATCAAAAATATACTAAAAAACAATTAGTATAAATATATATTGAATGGTCAAATCGAAAAGTTCAAATAATTAATTCAAAACAATATTTATTAGAACGACGGGCGCTACCAAAGTATCACTGAAAGTTGCCTTACATTTACCAAAGATATAATTACTAACTGATTGCTAACAGGATTGCAAACTTAAAACTGATCAATTAAATGTAGTGTTGAAACGTAGGGTTTGGTCACCTAGACTCCCGCGCAAGAGCCTCCCGTTAAAAGCGCGCGGCAAACAAAATATACCTAAAAGATGCATCTATATATTGAGAAAATGATGAAAAAAGCAAGACAAAAATTAGTGTTTTGATTGGCATCGACAGTGTTCACTGGATTATTTATAGTCTCTTGATTTACTCTCTGTTTTCGGCCTTTTCTTAAAATTTATCGTAATTAGGAATACAGAACTATGGTCTTCAACATCTGAATGAAGCTGTTTCGTTTCTTTTCAGAGGTTGAAGTAAATATCCCTAGGGCTATCAGGAAGTCTTCAGCCTATCTTTCAAACCGACAGATTTCGAACAAGTCTTGGAGCAATCGAAACAGCAAACGTATTACAGAGTTTGTTATGCCTTGAGAGGAAGTAATTATATTCGGGTTGTTCTCAAAGCTCACTGTACTTCGTTGCTCGTTGCTTACAAAACTTCCTGTGTCAGCTAAAATTATGCGATGTTCATAGTGACATAGTTACTCTACATTTATTTTAGTCTGTTACCCATTCCTTTACGGCCAAGGTCAAATCCCTAGCCAAGCATTCCCTCGTTATAATTTAACTGCCCACAAAAACGAGGACATCAAAACAGGATACGATACCTCTACCTACTTTTCCTTTATTGCTAAAAATAAAACACTACTGTCAAGCAAACAAAATATTACGGGTATCTTAATCAGATCTTATGGTGAAAATAACAATTTTGAGCGTGTCCTTGCGCTAACTACTGTTATTAAAAGTTATTTCAGCAGCGGTGTGGTTCTCAACCTACTATATTTAATGGCTTTGCTAGATGCGACCTTCACTTTTCATTCTGTGCGTGTTTAATATATGCTACATTACCTTGATTGTTTCTTCACAACGAATAAGAAAGATCAAGCGAGAATCTGAATGTAAAACGTTGCTTATCATGGACGAAAACCTTTATTTGTTTTGATCGAGAGAGAAACTGGTTCAATGAATTGCAAGATTTAAGGATGATATGAAATTTCGTAACTTTGAGCTTTATTTCTCGACTGGAATATTTCATTCCTGTCCATAAACTCAGTGAGCCATATCAAATAAACACATTTTTGGCAACATACAACAACTTCCAATTAAAGGCAGGACATGCATTCAGAACACAATACGCTTTATCTCATAAGTTATGGCAACAGGGATGTAATTACTTAAACAACTTCCGTAATCTACATTGTAAAAGCTTAGGAAAGGACAAAACCTCGTGCTTATCGTCCCAAAATAACCGAATTTTGATTAAAATTTGATCAATAAAACTCACTTTTTGTTAAAATTTTTTTATTCACGTGGAATCGCGATGTGTAAGATCAAAGAAAACCTCGCCATAACAAACGGAACTCTACAATTAAGTTTAAGGAAAATAACCCAATGAAATACCCACCTCCCTCCACGCAACATGCATGTGCGAGGAAGTTTCTTTGTTCGTGTGAAATTTGTCGGACTTGAACAAAAATATCAATTTAGAAGTTTTTTTTCAAAGGAACACCGGTAGTTTTTGAATAAACTTTACCGGTAATGTTTTGGTGAAGCTGATTAAAACTTCCACATGAGCACCTAACCGTTTTTCTACAATGTCCTGCAAGATTCCAATAGTTCAAGTCTATCATTTTTAAGGAAGTTTCACGTCCATCTGTTTGTTTCCGTAACGATGGAAGAAGAATGAGTACACGTTTCGCTTCAGCGAAGCCGAACAGACACGTATAACTCGTAAATATTCACGGAAGTTTTTGTTATAAGCATACCTGCCCTGCGTATTTTTGTGATAAGGTCACGTTTCCCGTTAATTGCCCACTGTAACTGTTTCCACATTGCTGTAAGGAAGTGCAAACGCACACTCAAATGTCCTTCCTTTCTCACTTAAGGAAGCAGAAACCGGTTATACTTTAGTAACACTAATCGGGATGATCCTGACTTGCTGAAACTACCCTTAAAGGTCGTTTTCCATCAACAAATCAAACATTTTGATATTATTAGTTTCTTTCCACTTGGAATATTAAAGAATAATATCTAATAAAAAATCTGCCAGTTCTGTTTCAGAACTCGGATAATATCCTCGAATAATAAAAATCTTCCTTCCCGTGAAACAGAAACTGAAATTTTCTTTTGGGTAACGGATAAGAGGGGAAAATCCGTTTTAGAAACATTTCCCCTAAGTACGGGAACAGAAACAACTAAAAATTGCGCACGTTTGTATACAACTCCAAAAAATGTAGATAAAGAAGGATAGATATGTTATGATTTAAAATGAGACACTCCTGTAATAGATTTACGCCAAGCGTACAAATAGAAGCTAAAATAATACATAAGCTACGGACGTAAAAATCTGATTTAAGGACTCTTTTTTTTTTCGAGTAAAAGCAGAATGCTGAAAATATCACGATCATTTTTCTTTGAGGCTTGATTATTTCTGATGAGTTGGTCAATCTACTTTGTAGATGACAATCAACTGTCTAATATTTGATAAAGATAAAAACATTTATAAATAAAGCATAGCGTGAAACATAATGTGAAAACCAATCAGTGACTGAAAGAGAGGATGAAGTAATAGAAACAGTTCGACTCCCCACCAATAAATCGGGAGCTTTCCTTTTCTTCAACTCCAAATAGATCCACTCGATTCCTATTTCCGCTTCGGGAAGTTCTTAGCCGTTTCAAATCATTATCAATCATGAGAGTTTTTGGCTGGTCTCTCTTAAAAATATGATAACAAATACACAGTGAAAATTTTGTTGAACGAACGGAAATATAGTTTCTTCTAAGTTGTCATTCATAGATATTGCAAACAAATAAAAGGAATTTTAGCGGTTCATACATAAGAGTCACTCGGGGGGCAATATGCACTCAACCGCGCGGGGGAAAGCAAAACAAAAAATAATATCTATCAAAAACTTTCAAAATACGTTTTAAAAAGCCGCGAAGCCAAGGGCACAAAGCTCAATACTACGATTTATTAATAATATTGTGGGTTTTTGTGATATAGACGTGATGTCACGCTGCAAAGTGTATTATTTGACGAACTTTGTATCATGTTGATCAAAGTATTTTATGGTGTAATCCTCTTTCAGAATTGCTATAGCATCTTACGATTTGTTTAGGAGTCTTTCAGTAAAATGACATCGTAATGACGTGTTTTCTGACGGATTTTTCTTCAAATGTATTTTAGTGACGAAAGCTGGAATATGTGATAATTTTGGAATACTTCTTTTCAGTTTTTATCAGCAAACGTAGTCGTGACTCGAAGTACATAACATGACACCGGCTGACATCTTTATTGAAACGTGTCCAATGCAACGTGCACGTCTAAAATATCTCGAGAGTTCCGTGAGTACTTACACGTACGAAATATTTTGAATATGGCTGTTCTTCCCCCTAATTAGACAACAGTTTGGAATAAACGACACGTTTGAATTATTTACGAGCAAATCGAAACGATTTATTTTTGGAGGAAGAAGTAAAAATAGCCGTATGATAGATTTTGTCTGAAATGTGAAACATTTCATGTAACAACCGGAACTGAAAGAATAGTTCGTTCTTACGTCATCCGTACTTGGGCCACGTGAGGATTATAAATACGGCGGCGGAACGGTTTCCGATCAGTTGTATTTTCACGAAGTAGTGAGTGGGTTGCGAGATTTAGCTGACGGGCCATCTGCCTCTTTGCATTTTATTAAAGATGGCTGACGATCAGAGGGAAGAAAGTTTACAAGGGAAAAACGCAGAGAAAGTTGAAGCTTCGCCAAAGTTGTTGTTGAACGGACAAGAAGTCAGTTCCACCGCTTGTTCTGATCATGACGTAGCGGGTTCGTCGCATTCAGAAGATGAAGTCGATCGTAAATATCGGCGCTCTCCCGTCGATTCCCACTCCGACAACGATGGTAAAGATGGAACTGAACCTTTCCAACCTCCTAGCGATGAACTGGCGGAGAAAATTGTGTCCCAAGTCGAGTTTTACTTAGGCGACGATAATCTTGCTAAAGATGCCTTTTTGCTCAAGCATGTCCGTCGTAACAAAGAAGGTTACGTCAACTTGAAGCTTATAACGTCGTTCAAGAAGGTAAAAACGCTGACAAAAGATTATAGAGTGGTCGCCGAAGCCCTGGAAAAATCAAAGGAGCTTTCGCTGAATTCAGAGAAGACAAAGGTGAGAAGAAATGTACCCCTTCCTTCAGAACTTCTCGAACGTAATCCAGGGAGAACTGTTGTTGTCACTAGATTAGAGAACGCGACAATGGAAGGTGTAAGCGAAATCTTCTCTAAATGCGGGGAGATTGAATTAATCCGCATCATTCGGCCAGGAAAACCAATCCCTGCTGATTTAAAGTCTTACTTTGCCAAACATCCGGAACTCGAGAAGGAAACAACTGCGGTTGTAGCCTTCGAAACGATGGCCGCAGCTGCCCGTGCGTGTAGTGAATTGTCGAAGGAAGGCGGCATGAAAGTGGTAGAACTTGGCAAACATGGCGCCAAGAAGGAGAAATCAAAGTCCAAGACGAAATCCAAAGAAAGGGGAAGCGACGGTGGGCGAGACTCAGACGAGGAACACGACGATTCTAAAAAGAAACGCCGAAACAGAAAGAAAGATAAACGTGTGCAAGAGCTAATGGGCAAGAACTCAGATGATAGCTTGTCAAGTTCTTGTTCTTCAGATACAGATAACTCCTACTCATCATTTAGTACCTGTCGACGCAGGTATAACAGTGGTGGAAGTCCAACACCAGAGAGGGCAGGATCACCCACTACCAGCCCACGAACCCTGGGCATAGGTGCCCGCCGATCACCACAGAGTAGTCCAGAACTTCCCAGGAAGCTTGCCAACATTTCTGTCAAGGAAGGAAGTAACAGTGCTCCTAACAGCACTCCTAACAGCCCATGGTCTCAGCGCCGCAAGTTTGGATCACCAAACAGCAGCCATTCTCAAAAATCCAGCCCACTGGTTGACTCTACTAGTCCACGACACAGGATGATTCAGTTGGAGGGAGTCCAAAGACTCCCTAAAGGTCCTGATGGTACCAGAGGCTTCCATGCAGGCTTTGGACGTGGCAGGCCCATAATAGCAGTTGCTTAGTGTATTTACCCAGAGGATGTAATTTATTGAGGCTATGGACAATTTTATGAAATTAAGAATGCATATGGTTGTTTGGGTAACACATTTAGGCTAACCTATTTTATTTGTATAGGGCAAGTGTGGTTTTTCCAGGGAATTAGAACAAATTGTATATAGCACAGAGAAAACATCTTTGAAGCTCAGTATGTCTAAGCTTGATACAAAATTTGAGGTTAAAAATATAAGTTTCTTCTCTTATGGTATTAGTTGAAAAGATAGGGAAGTAGATGTAGTTTGTCTGAAATATGATCATCAATTTATAGGAAAATTGTGACAAGATTTCTTAAATCACCAGTCGGTTTGTCACCCATAGGACCTTTTTTGTTTTAATGTAGAAATTATTGATGTGCAAAATCACCAAAAAATTATGCTGTATATATTGCTTGAAGTTTTTCTTCTTGAATTGAGTGATTATTATTCCATGTTCTTTGTCTAATGCTCTTTTTGAGTACTTTGAACTGAAGAATAGCACTATTACTATTGTAAATAGTCTTTATGTCACTATTTATGGTTGACTAAGGATTGATTGCTAATTTGGAACTGCAAAAGCTGTGGACTAAGCATTAATGATGTAAAACATCTCAACTTTAAGGTAGAGCTGTTTGCATCCTCTAGCAATCAACATTTGGTCAACTTTTGAGAAATACAAAGATCATTTCTTTTTCTGGGTTTTTTGGTTTGGGTATAAGTTAAGAATAATGTATTCCTATTTGAATTTGGGGAGTGCTGTAAATAGGATCAAAGAAAAAAGAATGTGGCAAATTTACTGGAGATTTTTTTAACATTTAATTTCTTTATTTTACTATGTTTCCAGTTCCTTTTTTTATCTTTTTTTGCGAGGAGTCTCTGTAAAGGAGAAAAACTATGTTGTATTATAATGCCTAGCTATAAATTTATTCAAATTGACCTCTATTTGTGACAAATAAATACATAACTATATAATAGACAGGAATTGTCTTTGGTTTTTGTAATTTCATTGTTTTCTAACAATTAACTTATTCTGCTGGTAAAACTTTGTAAATTTTTATCAAAGGAATATTATTTCATTGGATATTTTCTTGCATTCAGAATAAGATAAATTCATGGGCATAGTAACTTACCTAAGGCATATAACTTGAAAAATTAGCAGAATGGTAGAAATCCACCAGTAACTTCTGTAGAAATTCATAAGACTGGTTGGTTGTAGGTTTGGACTATCATTAGACCTTGAGACTCCTTTAAAAAAGGGGCCATTTTAAGCTGTGAATGTTTTTTTTCCAGAGTTATATTTGAGCCTTCTTGACATTTCACAAATTCGATGTTTATTTATTGTGCATAACTTCATTGAAAAAGGCCTTTAAAGATGGTTTTGCCAAGCAATGACTTGACTTTGTTTCTTAAAAGAATTGGATAGTTGGTAGTAAACACACAAACCAGATTAAGTGCAAAATGAGTTTAGAACATCCAAACTCTGAATTTAGTATTCATTTTTGTATGTAAGCTAGTGTCTATGAGTGACTTTATATGCATTAGATATCCATTTTTCAATTACCAGTATTCATTTAGTGGTGTGAAACACTTGGGACATTAAACTAATATGAAATAAATGCTTGATACTTGTTGTCTGTTACTTACAATAGGAAGTTTGACCAATGAAAGTAAAACTACCAATAACATGTCTTATTGACAGCGTAAAAAACAAAAAACATTAGAGTATTTAATCAGTGTTGTGAACCTGTACATTTTTTGGCATTAATGCCATAGGGGTCTCTAAATTTGGACCTCATGTCAGGTAGAATCAGCACTTAAAATAATACCGCATTATGGAAATGGATGGTTCTGATAATTTTTACTTTTGTGCACTCAGGATTTAACACAAACTTACAATAACTGGTAGGTGGGATGCCCCTCATAAACTATAAAGCTTTTCAGAGGAGTAACCTCCCTCCCTTTGGAAGTAGGGGAGTTTTTAAATACCATAATAATGCACTCAAGGGGAGGATGCATGTTGTTTTGGCTTCAGCTTAGCATTGGGACTCTGAGTTCATGCTCTTAAGTCATTAATACCAGAAGAAGCAATGTTCACCACTTCAAAGCTGGTAAATAAAATCAAGCAAAGGGATGGGCAAATTTAACCAATTTCCATTCTCCCCTGAATTGAAAAGAAGCCTATTACATGCATTTCGTTTGTTAATAGTGCTGCTTCAAAAGTAGAGGAGATAAACAGGAGAGGTTGTTTGATGTGTATCCATCCACCATTTTTCAACGAATGAAACTGAAAAGTGAAGGAGCCTGTTCAAAAAATGCTGGACTCTTAAATGATTGGCCTACCGTAACCCTGACATCAGTTTAACAAATAGATTCCAAGTTGCCGTGCGTCTGTTCAGTAATAGATCACAGATGACGTCAAAATGTGGTAAGAACAAAAAAGTGGCAGACGAGGCACAGCTGAGTGTCACTGATGTTCTTACCACATTTTGACATCCTCTGTGATCTGTTATTGAACAGACGCACGGCAACTTGGAATCTATTTGTTTTATATAATAAAGAATTTTAAAAAGTTTTAATGATGACGTCATCTATACGTCTGTCCTCCAATAGATCATAAGTGAGAACCAATCAGAATGCGTGCATAACTGAGCTTATTATATAAATGCATATTTACCATATTGTCCTCGATATATAACAATTTGTTTGATAATCAAGATCATTTCCTTTGTTCTGGTGACCTTAATGTGTAATTCAGGGGTAATCTATCAAGCAGACCAGTGATGAGAATAAAGAAAAATATCAGAGGATTATTAGTTGATCCAACACCAAATTCTCAAAACTAACGTCACAAGAACTGTATGGCAGACAGTAAGGAGAATCACTAACGAGATCTTGGGAGTTAAAGGGTTCACAGAATTCAGACAGTGTAAGTACACAACACTTTAAGTTCATTGTTTTTATTCTTTCAAATATTCCCTATCAAATTGCATTATATCTAAATTATATCTTAAAATTTACCATTTCCTAATAGATCTGCATCTTTTCTGCTCCTTTGACTAAAATACGTACAGTAACTGACCCATTAATTAAAATTCATTGAATCTACTTTGTGCATTTCCTTACACTGTGTTTTGATGATAGAAATACAATTTCCTTGTTAAACATACATGATGATCATAAAAATTGCCGTGTAATGAACAATTCCCTAACCCAAGCTGATTTCCCATGACTTGATATCAAGAAAAACCCTAACTTTACCAAACTGTACACTTTTTGAAAATATTCACCCTTGAAAACTCCAGCAGCTTCGCTGCTTTAGCTGAGAAATGACAATGCCTGCACTGTCAAGGCTCATTTCAAATGTTTCAGTGTACTTGTTGCCATAGAATGGACAATAGTTTTCAACTGTTCTTTCAAATAAATCTGATGAAAATTATGTAATTTTACCACTTCTTCCCTTTTTTCTAGTTTATAAGGCTTTGCCTCAGTCACTTCATATCACTGTCATTTAAGAATGAATATTATGTAAAAATTATTTTCAGTATTTACCTCTTCGTCATCATTCAAATGCATTAAATACAAAATACTTCTTGTCAATTTATATATTTCTATAAAACTTATGGAATAAATACACTGCTCATAAAACTACCGTTTGCCAATAATAAATAACCAATTTGAAAATGTGTCTTAAAGAGCACCTAAATTTAAATTCATTTCAAGTTGGTTGCACTTTGGAACACAGGCAACTTGAGTTCAGGCTACTTGAAAGTTTTGGAGAGGGTAGTTGATGTTTCAGATTTGCAGATTTTCTATGTAGACAATGATGTATGATGAAAGTACTTGACATCAGTGTTCTGTAATTGAGGCTTAAGAGGAAGTTCCTGTTCTCAAATTTGTACACACACATTGTTTGCAAGTAAAGTACAATTTCTACTCATATGAGCATCAAGATCATCCTCCAACATTTTGAGTGTTTGCCGCACCTACAGGAAAATAAAAAAATGCTTTGGTCATTAAAATAGATTGTTCATCATTTTAAGATCTTGTTAGGGCTTTCGGCTTAATTGTTATTAAAATGACCAGTTGGAAATCTAAAGTGATAAAATGGTCACCATGCAGAAATAAAATTTTAGCCATAAGAAGAAAGGACATTGCAGGTCACAAAATTGGCAACTTTCCTTGCAAGATAAGACACAAATATTTTTTCTTCTTGCCATGCAACCAAACTGGTTGCACCTTGGAGCATTACATATAATTATATCAGGTCATAATAAGTTAGACTTAAAGATCATCTAGATAGTGAACAAGTGACATACCTGTGTGATTGCATTCAAATTGGCTGCTACAATTGTTTTAAATCTGTAAAACAAAATAAAACATTACTCCATGTAGTCATCAATCATGTGACATAAATTACTTTGTGGTTGTATAAAACTGATTTTGAAACTGCTCACATCTGGCCTTCAAAACAGGAATGTTTTATCTTGGAATGAAATTCAATTAAAAATTTGAAGTCATTGTTTCTCACAGTTGCTGGAGTAGTATATGGCTAGGGTAGAATAAATGTTTTAATCTGAGAAAAGTCAGAAATATCCTCACCTAACTATTTCTGCATCAAAAACTTCCTGACGAAGTTTCCACAATTGATGCATTGACTTTTGACTGGAAAAAAAATTACCATCAAGATATTTATTAATAACAATAACAAATTCATCTCTTTAACTTTACACTGTGATTGGTCTGGAAAACTCCTACTATAGTACCCTCTCAAAACTAAAACTAATTGCCTTTAAGTTTCTTGCACGATCACTTGATGAAGTAAATCTTGTTCTTACTTGAGTTCTGATTGGTTCCTTGTGATATTTTCCTTCACTCTAATTGGCTGCTGCAATTACTTACTAATCAATTGGTTTTTTCTAGAACACTCAATCCAAATGTTCTATTGTTGTATGCATTCCATGCTTATCAAGGAATATAGTATAAAGTTTCTAGGTAAATGAGAACAACATTAACTAATTACAAAACTAATAAAAACCTTTATCAATCCAACTTACAGAAGAATCTTTTCTGGAGGATAAGATAATTGTGCCATGATTTTAGGTTCCAATATGGAAATACGTTGAAGCAGGAATAAACTGCACATTATTAAACATGTTATTCTGAAACAAAATTAAAATATATTCAATCTTTCACTGTACATGTAAGTCTCAATGACACTAAAACATGATAAAACAAACAAACATTACCATCATCATTCACCTGATCATTGACATAATCACTGCCTTCATTGTTGCCACTATCATTATAATCATGAGGTTTACAAATTTAAAGAAACTTTAATGAGAGCTGCTTACATCAAAGGAGTTTGATAAAAACTCTTGGTACTTACAGAAAACAAGTAGTTATGTAAAAGAGCTGTTCCCTTGTAAGTCTGCAAAGACAAAGTTTGACCAGTGTGCAAAAGTAATGTTTCCACTTGGTAAAAACATTAAAGTGATAGAAAGTTTAATAATAACCTTATAATGATATAATAAACTTTATGGCATTAATATCAGTTATTTCTTGATATTGGTCAAGAAAATCTTTCATTTCTCTCAGCTAACAATGTTTAAATATTCTGAGCATTTTCTCTTGTCTTTTATCTTATGTCAAATTTTCAGAACAAGTATCATTCAGATACTTCTAAAATACAAAGGAAACTGTTACAAACTATACATAATATTGTAACTTTTAACTTCTATACACTTACAAATAAGATTCACATGTCCATTAAATACTGCAGTGCCTTCACCCACCTTCTGACTAAACGCAGGCTGACTTGAAAGTATGAGTAAACAGTTTCAGCTACTGAAGCTAAAAACATTGCAGCACCAGCTGAAAAATAAGCAAAATACAATAAATACACACACCATAAGTAAACAATAGAACGAAAAAGGCAAATTACAAACAAACAACCAGATAAATACCACTAACAGAAAGTTATAAAATATTACAATGATAACAGTTACAAAACATTAAAAATGACAATAAACAACAGTTTAACAAACTATTATTTAATAATTGATAATTAATACACACACATCAAATGAATGCTGCTCTTACCACAGCCAGTAATTTTTGCAGGGTCTTGACATCTAGAAACTGAGCTTTTTTCACCCAGATGTGAAATATGGCCACCTCTTTTACTCATCACCATTTTTCCTTCCTCATCCACATCTTTAATTCTTGATAAATTTTCAGAGGATGCTTTTCTAGCTTGTTCACATTTCTTGCAATGACCAGCATTTTCTCCAGGACCACCAGCACTGCACTCATGGTCTTCATCTACATATGAAATGACATAAATGTAAAGTGAAGATCATGATCTGCAATAAAATTATGCAACTCAAAATATGTTTAATATGAAGAGTTAAAATCGATTTACTCCTTAACCTACTACTACACATTCCCTGGCTTGTAAATTAGTTGCAATTGATGCCAGATCAAGATAACAACTTCTACCAGATAAGTTTGAATATTGTCATTACCTGTTTGCTGAATAATGTATGGATGTTATAGGGAGAAGTTATATGTTAATTACTTCTAGGAGTTCAAAGGCTAATATATCAGTTCTTCAACTAAAAACCTATACAGAAACACAGTCAAGAACATGTACATATAGTCCTACGTTGCTGATTGACTGGAAGAAAAGTTGAAATTTAAAAATATTTTCAAATGTTTCATATTAACCAATTAAGTTTCCTCATATTGAATTTCCAGAGCATTAAAACTTACAAATTGTAAACATTGACTAAAAAAGCCAGAAATATTAATGTCCATCTCAGATTAATTGTCTTATATTTCATTGAAAACACAACCATTAACAGAGTCATTAAACATGTTAAACACATTATAATTGAATCAGTAAGGTGGTAACATCTATCAATGTACCATCGTTTCCCTCTATATTCTGTTCTTCATCTTCATCTTCATCTTCCCACACATCTTTATCTTCTGACGGAGAACCAGCTTCAGTTTGCTGGGAGAGAATAGGTCACATGTGAGCATGTGTACAATACATATTAATTACTTAACACACAAACTGCTGCAGTAAAATCATTTTAAAAGTATTCACTGTGAGTAATGATATATTTGAGTTATCAAATATTCCTCCTCTGAGCCTTAAAGCACTTCTATCCAGCATCTTGATAAATTGTAATGAAGCAATAGTCTTAAAGTAATTACCCCTCTATGGATGAAAGCCCAACAGTTTTAATCAAAAAATCAAATCTTGAACTCTCAAGATAACTACTACTCACCTGATTCTCCCCATCAGCTTCATCCATTTTCTGAATTAAAGAAACAAATTCACAACATCAAGTACCAATAGATCACAACTATTTATTAGAAACTTCTTTTATTTTTCAACCAAGGCACTAGCTGTTAGTAATGTGTAACAACTCTAAATTTCAAATTTCTTTTTTATCAGTCTTCTTTGTTCACAAGAAATTACTAACAATGAACACACTTTCATCAGGCCATTCAGTAAGTTAAAAAGGCATAGATCAGAGAGAAATGATAATGGCTACATGGTGATGATGGAGCATTCAAAGTACCTATTATAACTGTAAATAAGTATCACTGATACAAGTTACCAGTAACCAGCTAAAGGTATAAAACAGAAATCAATCAGACCTGGAATAAGTTAAGTGACCTCATGTACTAACCTGATTCTTAGCTTTGACTTCATCCCACACCTGAAGGAGGAGTTTGTAGACAGTTTCTCTGGATAAGAACGATGAAAAGAAGTGCTGCAAAAGGTGAAAAACAGTTCATTTACAGAGTAAATTTGTGATTTATTTCTCCTTACAGTATCAGCCCTGAATCATACATTAACTTCATGAGAGTAATGGAAATGATCAACAAATACAAGAGCTCTTGATTGTTAAGCAATTAAATCTCCTTGTCAGCATCTTAGGAAATACATGGAGAACAGTATAGAGAATGTGCATACTGATCTTAGGGTGTAAAGGGTTAAGATCTATTGGAGGAAACATGTATATATGGCCTCACCAATAACAACCTTTTGCTTGTTTTATCACATAAAACATGGATTCCATGTTGCTGTAGGTTTGTACAGGTGCTGTTAGTAATAGATTACAGAAGACATCAAAATGTGATAAGAACGTCAGCAACACACCTGGCTGCACCTGGTGGTGTGTTGATTTTCGTTCTAGCCACATATTTACATCATCTGTGATCTATTACTTAACAGACACATGGCAACATGGAATCTGTTTGTCATACAAGCAGTCCCTAACTTTGCTAACAACAAAGCTATAATACTATTAAGATTATCACACCACATAATTAATACCAATAACAAAAACAACTTGCAATGAGCTAACCTTTTCCTCATCAGTACAGATAAGAATTGCATTGGGTACAACATAAGCTGTTTTCTCCCTAGTTATGGACTGAATTTTAGTACAATCTATTGTTACCTGTAAATTAAATGAGGAACACAAATTCAATGAAAAACAGTCAATACATTTAATTCTTCCTTCTTAATAATACTAACAATTATTTGCCCCTGGCTAACTGAATATGGTTATTAACCCCTTTAAACCCTGAGAGAGACCAGCATCTAATTTCTCCTTACAGTCATACAGCTGAACCATTCATTAAGATCATGAGAATAAAGGAAATGATCGCCAACCAAAGAAGCTTTGATTGTTAAACAAATTCTCCTTGTCAGTACTACAGGAAATGTATAGAGGATAGCATGAAGAATGTGGATACTGATGTTAGGGTATAAAGGGTTAAATAATGCTGAAATAAAGTTTGAGGGACCAATCAGCTGAGCATTTCTTGAGAATGTTATATTCTATGTAACGTTTATAAGCCATTAGTAAAATATCAATTTGAGAGCTACAGAACTAAAGTTTTCATAATAATTACTATTTTCTTCTTCAGAGACATATAAAAAAATTATATGGTGTCCATTCATTTTTTTTGAAACTGAGTGCTGCATTGGGAACCTAAGTCAGCAAACACAAGGGCATTCAAGGTGTTCTTCAGAGATTCGATAATTCACTCACTGCTAAACAGAATTCTTCAGCTTTTTCTTTATTTAGATATCAAAGTTATATTTCCCAATCAACTAACAACATTCCTCCCCTACTTCATTTCTTGAATGAAATGAAAACTGACTGTGAACGTATGAAAATCATAGTGTAAACTGTGGATAAAGACGTGAATATGAAAGCGATCTTTGCAGTAATGAACACTACTTAAGCAGTTGTAGCAGAAATAAGGCTTGAAAACTCTATGATTATAGCATTAAGATATGACATAACACTCAACCAATCAGAGATTGTGCCCTACCATGATCACCAGCAATTACTCTGGAGTAATTACAAGTCTTCTAAATATTCTTTTAATCATAATATGAAAAAACACCAAAAATAGAAGTAAAAATAGGATATAAAAGGGAATCAATACTGGATGAAGGTTTTAAACTTACTTGTGTTTCCCACCCAAATATATTTGAATAAAAACAGAACCATCCTTGTGTGATGTAGATTCTTCCTTGGAGTAGAATTTCACGACTTAGAGCACAGGAAAAATCTAAGAAGAGAAATTCATAACTCAAATAAAAAATAATAATCTAAAATTGTTAAACAACTGAATGTTACATGTTAAACAATTTTTGGGGGTTAAACTGGAAGAAAATGTGGACACTACAGAATGGCACAATGACAAAATCAATGAAAATTTCTAGACATTCTCTTATAATAAATAAAATAATCAAGAGTGCAACACTCAAAAGTTTTTTGAATCAAAAGGACTTTTCATCAAACCTTTTCATCAATGTTGGCATGTATATTATTTTATTAAATGTAAGTTCATATACTTACCATTTATGGGGAACTGGTCCATTGGAACACTCTTAAAAAGACGGTGAAATTCTTCATAGGGAGTCCGTGTTGACAGTAAAGACTGCAAGTAAAAAAAATTAACCAAAAACAAAAACTGTGAATCAATGTGAACTGTGTCAACAAAATACAGGTCAAAACTGAACTGGTGCCAGTTTAGCACCATAGTGTACCTCCCAAAAAGTGACAAATCAACACCTAAATTTATTAAATCCTGGCATTCAAAAGGTTGTCTTACTAAGTATGATTATTTGCTTAAATGATTATCAGAATATGCCACTTATTTGCTTAGTTTCACGTTATTTACTATTAAAATAATATAACTATCATGGTCAAAAATCATATGCCACGTATCACCCTGATTTAAAACATTTTCTGAACTAGCCCAACAACTTTCATACTGTTTTTAACCATCCCATATCATAAAAGCCACTATTTGTCCTACTAACAGGTCCTGTGAGTTTCAAATAATAACAAATTTCTAAGCGCAGAGAGCTGTCAGACCATCATATGTGAACAAGAAGTTTTGTTATATAAAATGCAGTGCCACCATAATTTTTTGCTTTATGGTTAGGCAGTAGCACAGCTATGTTAATACAAAAAATAGCAACAGCTGTTCAATTTTGGCACTTTTTGGAAATGAATTGTATCGGGGCCAATTAAAATTAGTATTCAAATTCAAATGGACTACAACACTAAGGCTAGACATCAACATCAGGTGTTTTAGCATTGACAAGTTAAATCTAAGCAATGATTAATAAAAGTTATCGACAGATGAAACTCTGTGTTTACAAAAGAATGACAGGTAAATATCCCTCAAAATATTTTTAATACCACAAAGAACCTCTGATATACAGTTTCAGGGCAAACTTTCAATTTCAACTTGTCGGTTTGTAAAAACCTTTGGGAAAACTTCATAACTCTATTATCATGAAAATAAATTTAAACATTAACCTAATTTAGGTTAGTGTATAACACTGGTCTTCACAAAAATGTAAAATGTATAATATGTATTGATGTGTGCATAAATACTGTATGGTAAATGTCTCACCATAGAATTTTGTTTGAATAAGCCGACTAGAGCCATACTGCCCAGCATATATCTATCACCAGAAATAGATATGAAGTGCTAAAGGACTTTGAATTCAAAGATTAGATCAAAATGCTCAGTTTAAGAAAACTTTCATATCTTGGACACTAGCATTTACCCCATCGTGGCTATTCCTTTTGAATCAATAATTTATACACTACAAGCCATCAGAATTGATTTCCAAACCAAGCATTCTCAAAATGGGTTTCCTGCAATTCTGAGAATATAATGCAGTCCCAATTCTAAAGGTATTAAGGACAAAATACTGAGCCACAAATTAGCCAAAAATTCTGAGGGTTGAAATAAAAGTTTTACCCATTTCACAAATAAATAACACTCAGTCTGTGTCTTTTAAAATTTTTGAGTTGAAAAATATTTTCGAAAACCATGAAACATGCTCTGAGATATAAATTTTTTTTTTGGTTTGAGTTCTGTAAGCCACCTATTTGTTATTTTTGCAGAAAATCTTGGCTGGATGACTGCCATCTGACAGTTCATTCACATGTGAACTCAGGAAACCATGCAGAAGTAGGTTGCTATAATTTTGAAATTTTACTAACTTAAAACTGCAGCTTGTAGTTTAAGAATGAAGATTCTTATAATAGTTGACAAGTAAGTCATTAGTTTAGGAATTCAAGCCTTCTAGAGTTTTAATAAAAGCTTTACATAAACAGGAAATGTTGATGTCAATTTACCCATCTGTTCTGTGAGTTAGTTCCTTTCCTTCGTGCTTTGCTTGTGACTTGGAAACTATCATCCTTAGATCGGCCAAATACTACATTCCGCCGCCTTAGTTTTCGTTTCCCTGCATTCATGGTAATTTGGGAAAGGACCTTCGGTATGTCCTCACTTTTAATTGAAATGTATGAGACATTATGCAGACTTGGTTCGAGTGAGGAACAAACCGGTCAGAATCATTTCACAAGCAGATAATTAATTCAAGGCTTAAAATAAACCAGTGTTCAGAAACAGACCACAGAGATGACAGGTTGCTCCTGATTGGCTACAAACAAGTGGCAGGTGAAAGAATACAATTGGTAGTAGCATTTATCCCAAAGTAAATTGTCTTATGTAAAGAAAATAACCCAATAGAACTCCTGATGGTTTGAATGAAGACAACGTAACTTAAATGTTTAGACTTGTCACATGGGAAGATGAATACAAACACTTTTGTTACTCTCAACTGAAGGTAAACTGTTAGGTACAAAATCCAAATGTTCAATATTTTTAAGCCAGGCAAGAATGCAGATGAATCATTTGAACAAAAAAAAATTCATGGAAATCTAAGATAATATCAGAATTAAATTCTTAACTAGGATTAAAAACCATGAAAGAGATTAAGATTTGCCCTTTCAAATCCTTTTCCTTCTAGTCAAACAGTACAGCCACATTTAGAGCATTTCAAAGAATTTACACATGCCCAAGACATCAAGAACAAGCAAAATAAAAATATAAATTAATTTTTCTCTCTACTTTTGGGGGTTACCTGTTTTGTAAAACAAAACCACCTGTCAATTATATCACACTGTGTCAACTTAATAATTTATCACATCCAATAACCTTCTTGGCTAATATCCATAGAGACATTACACCTTAAAATGCAGTTGGGGTACAAAATGTGAATGTATATGTTGCTGTTAAATTTCAATTTTGAGTTTAAAAAAATTTATATTTATACTGATCCCAAGTTTTCATATTTTGTGTCATAACCATACTAAATTATTACCAGGACTTGGGGACAAAGAGAACTTAGAGTCTATGTTAATAGGAATAATTAAACTTCTACCTGAGGTTAAATTGTATGTGACTCCAACATATAAGAAGACAATACATATTGACAGCTAACTGAACATAAAAGCACTTAGCACTTACAGCAGTGTTCAGTGAGTGGCCAGAACATTTGAAAATTAAATAAAACTGCTTTGGCATTCTGGCTGGGTGGAGACTTCAAATTCACTCAGATTATTTACTGTGTAGGAAACAAAACTATATTTCCATTCATTTTATCAGAAACATATTACTTAAAAATAGTGGTCTAACTTAAACATCTATATCATGGAATAGGACAGATAACCTTACAGGTAATAAAAAATAATAAAAATATATGATTTTGAAGTGACTTTCACAAGGAATACTCCATTTATTTATACCTCTGTCAATAAACAACCTTAAAGTCCTTCTCTTGTCACACATTAACATCTTTACATTTGTACTTGTTCTGTGTCAATTACCATAATCATTAAAATGACTTTTAATACTGTTGTTTATGATAATTTTGGGTCTTTTTGTTGGCAATTTGTTAATATTTAAAAACTTCTAAAGCCAGCCATTAAGATAAAGAAAGTTGCATTAACGAATGGTTCTTGAAAGATTTGACATTTCCAGAGCACAAAGCTTTTATGGTAAGTGGTTATTATTCTAGCAAGTATTAGTAAATAATTTTTAGATGGAGAAACACCTTAAAACTCTTTCCAAGACATTGCAAACTGTAATCTTTCAATATCTTAGTAGGGTCCTAGGTAGAAATTGAGGAACCTTTACAGACACCTTTGGATCTTTGTAGAGACATTTTCTGAAGATTTTTTAAACTTTTTTCAAAGATTCATGATTTTTAATTCTTCATTTTGGGTACAAACTTCAAGACTTTTTCCAGACCTTTTCAAGACTACTATTAATAATGACTTTCAGTTCTCAACACCTTCAAGGTCCTGTGTCAAGTAGCCTGGCCTGAGCAAAAAAACAGTTTTTAAGGGTTTTCTAGGTCTTGGACCTTTTGTCATAATTTATTTAAATTTGGTGATTTTCTTTAGATTTCATTCACAAGAAAATGCACGCAAATTTTGCTGCCGCTTGAAAAAAGAAAGAACTCCAGATTTATACGCTAGTAATTATTTGTCAACATGTAAACTGAATATTCTTTATTTCTCTAGGTCTTGAGCTAGTTTACTGGTAACTTTCAAAGTTTCTGTACATTTTTCATGAATTTAAGACTCTGTAAGAGCCATGAAGATTTGTAAAGATCTATCACCGTTACATAACTGAATTATACTGTACCATTTTCCAACAGGTTATTAACAAAACAGCCACATTGCACAGAAAAACAAGTAACCTTTCTAAGTCACAGTGAAGATTGAACCAAAAAAAAATTTTGACTCACATTCTTAAAACACATTATCAGGAAATTTTGAAAAATCATAAACACCAAATTTGTATTTATTCAATTATCTTTCAAACTAATTATTAAAATTAGTAACAGTACAAAGCTGGCTCACCTTGATAAAGTTTGGTGTCCTATCTGATTTGAGAAGTTGTGACTGTAAAAAATTGAAAAAGAAAAACAAAGCTGATTATTATAAATCTAGTCTCACTGACAGAGTTTTGTCTTTCTTTAGCCTGATGCTCTCAACATCTCTTTTTTTAACAACATACCATGTCCTGTAATTTTCTAAGCTGGTGCTGTGAAATAAGGTTTGTGGCTAAGATCCTACATTGATTCTTGCAGATGCATTTAATGAAATTTTTTTTCTCACAATGAAAATATACATTTCTATAATTAACCATTACTTTCTATATCCAGAGAAGTTAAGACATTAAACTCCAATACTCTCCTTCTTATGAGCAATATGTAACTATGTTTTTGTCCCTCTCTTGAATGAAGGGAAGAATTGACTCCTTTGAAACAATTACTACTAACAATTACTCAGCAGCCCTCTACTGTAGAGACAATGATCTTTGACCCTTTCACTCTCAATATCTTTATCAATAATACTCCTTGTTGTCTGCCATTCAATTTTTTTTTCTATATTAAATTGGAGAATTTGGTATTGGATCAACTAATAATCCCCTAATTTACATTTTTCTTTATTCTCATTGCTTGTCTGCTTGATATTGATATTGTATGGGGAAATTCTGTTTTGGTCACTCATGGAAGTTAAAGGGTTTAGTTAATGATATCAAACTTCCAAATAGAACAATCTTACTGCCTCAATAATCAACACAAAGAGAGAATACTGGGCTTTAGTTTCCTAGAAACCCATTCAAATCAGTAAAAGAGGAGAAAGAATCAATATGACTTCTCCGCTAAGAGAACAGTGATGTTCAATTAACTCAGGGTGAACTCCCTTGCATGCATTAGAACTATTGCTAATTAGCAAAGCACTATCTTGTAGCCTAGTTAGACTCCTAAGTCTTTGAATTCTTTGTATCCTCCAGTAATAAAAAGTTTATTGATATAAGAACAATGACAGCTTAATGAAAGAATTTGACAAAATTTGAATAAATTATCCAAATTAGAATGGCAAGTTTATGATATTGCATCACTGAGTTTAAAGATTTTGCGCAATTCACGAGGTCCCATTTCTCACAGCTCAAACTGACATAAGCATCCGAAATGATTTTTGGAACAAACAAAGGCCAGCCCAAATGTAAAACTTCTTCAGCTGTAACTGAGTTGTTGCACATCAGACGATCAAGCCGCCACCTCCCACAAAATTAATTAAACGTGATTAAAGCGTGCATACAGGATAATACTGGCCTAACAGCAGAGGCAGAGGATACGACAAATTGTGGCTTCAATGTACATGTCTCCGACCAAATTAGTACAAAGGCAGAAATATGTTACAATTAATTTGCGTAACCTAGAGCTAATGGCTAGCACTAGGTTCCCTCAAAAGGCGTCTTGTAAAGTTGTGCAACAATGAACATCCTTTTGGTCCAAAACAAAGTTTGTTAAAACTATAACACCTCTGTCACTGGAAATACTTTGATATCGGTCCATTTCACGACTAAAAGCAGATATGTTTTAACGCTAGTTATATTTCCAGTATGTGCCATGTAGTCTGAGCTTTAAGATTAAAGTGCCCTATCATATTAGTATGATCATTTGCTGTCAATATTTGTTGTTCGACCTGTAGTTGCGTTCCTATACAAAAACTTTCTCATCGATGCATATACGAACCTACCTTTGCACCAGAGGACGATGAACTAAACTTCAGCGTATCTTGAAAAATCAGTGGCACATATTGCATTTTTCGTGTTAAGCTTTTTAAGCCCTTTGATCTCTCGACAAAGTTGACTTTTCCTCTCTTAACGAGCGTCACTTCTGGACGATCACTTTCGCACTCCATCTTTCGAAACCTTAACTAGGCACTAGGCACGCGATAATTCCATTTCGTAAACAAAAAACCCACAAATTCCTATGGATCGATCGGCCACAGCCGACGGGGAATTTTAGAGAAAAGAATTCTACAACTCAACAAACACTGTCGACGCATTCTGCGAGGATTTAGAAAGAGATCTCGGAATAAGCGTCGCGTCCTTTATTGGCCTCCGATCGGATGGTTGCGTGACATCACATCGGCTGACTTTGGGACCACGATCACTCCACCTGTACCTTCACTTCCGGTTTACTAATCAATTCAGACAAAACATGAAGTGAACGCTTCGAATAAAATTACGTTTCACTTGCCTGTGATAGTGAATTGGAGGATTCGTACACGTCTGATGGTAATTTCTCGCTGAGAAGAGAAAAAGCGGAAGAAAGGAACTTCAAAGAGGCAGATTGGCAACAACACGGAAAAAAAACGATGCGTCACTCGTAATCTGGAAGTAATCATGTACGCTCTGAAGCGTGCATAGAATCGAAAATGGTAAACGGAAAATTCTTTGCTCTTTATCTATGTTTAAATAGCCTGAAATACATAGTTTACTACTAACTTTGCGTTCAAAAATCTGACTGTTTCGCAGACAAAATGAGCGCTTAACATAATTAACAAGAGACCTTCCTTGCTTTAGCGACGCGCTTTGCTTTGGACCGAGAGTCAACAACCAGTGAAGGAAGAAACTTAAACAAACTCATCGAGATCACACCTTTTGACTCTTCCTCGGTAGTCTACTTCGGGAATATCGCCATTTACCTCATCTGCAAATCTGAAAGATTAAAGATTCTGCTCAGTATGAAAAGAAACCGCCATGTGATAAATTGCCCTCTAGAACTTACGTTTCGAACTCATTGAAACTCATCGAACTCGCAGAGTCGTTTGTTTCAGCTTCGACGTTGGAAGCAGTATCCATAGAGCCGCAGCTATTCGGAATGGGTTTTGTTAGAACTTCTTTACCTGAAAATCAAGCAGTAAAGGTTAACCTTCTCAACATTAAAATTGTCAAATTGAAGCCCGGGAATTTCACTCTTAACTGTCACATGCAGGTAACGCAAGTTTAGACTTACTTTTAGTTTTGGCTCTTTTTGTTCGCGTTTTAAGAATGGGATTTGGCTTTTTGTCATGAAAAAGTTTCACATGTAATAAAGAAAGCTTCATCGTGCCAACTACTCGTACTCAAATGATATAGCGGAACAATTCCTTCTCCCAAGCACGCACTTGATAAATAATTGACCAACGTGGATGTTATCACGCTAGTACAAGCGTTTCGTGATTTCAGCTTTTCCACGAAAAAGCGGAAGTCTAAATACACATGACGTATTTCCTGACAACGAGGCGTTACTGCACATCAAGATATTGACCCCTTCAACAGAAACATTAGTCAACAAGGTTCAGATAAGTTTCTAAAGAAATGCAAATTATCTGCTTTCTAAATTACCCGTAATGTTTCTTCACACAACTTTGATGTTAACGTTTGTTTTGACTTTATCTTCGCCTTAAGCTTATAAAGTACTCAAATATTTGATAAGAAATTGGTAAATGATCTCCGATAATATAAAGCACGACAAAATCTATTTATTTGGAAAGACTTTTAGAGAAGGTTTACAACACAGCAGTCGTATGTTACGAGTAGACTGCGAATGACAATTCTGTTGTTACAAAAATGATTCATGTTGGCGGCTTCCTGATGTCAGGCAATCGGTAGCTTCTTAAACAAAATCTACATCATCGTAGGGATATTTCGAATACAAATAACTCAAAAGTATATAAAAAAGGCGACAATGACTCAAATCGGGAGGTTTTAAAACGCGAATGAGTCATTAATGGATTCTCTCCGCTTCATAACTAAAACTCATTTTGTAAACAATAAAATACACCGACGTACCGTGGCGATCCTAATCACTCTTTGTACATCGACCGAACAAGTTCAGAGGATAATTACTTATCCAAAAAAATAATCACGAGCGATCACAATCCAATATGGGCGACGATGAAGGAAAAAGTTACTTCATTTCGGATGCGGGCTTTTCCCTGATTGGACAATTTTGACAAAGTAGCTCATGAATACTGCCGCGCGAAAAAGGCAGGTGGAACGATACAAATTGACAAGGTAAACACAAGACTTTCCGCGTTCTATTTATAGCCACTGTTGGGTGTTTTATAGATTTAGATCGAGGTCGTGTCAGCTAAGCATGGTTTGGATCGCAAATCTTTGATGTGAGAATCCTAAAAAGGAAATTGTCTTGACCCTGTAACTCCCAAGACAAAATTTATCTTTACGAAACCATTACAATATCAAGCAGACAAGCGATGAGATTAAAAAAATATATAAATAAGAAAATAATAAACTGATCAAATGCCAAATTCTTTACACAAACATCATAACAAATGTATGGCAGACAGTAAGGAAAATCACTAATGAGATCTTGGGAGTGAAAGGGTTAATTACAACAATTTTACTCATAAAAGTCTGTGTTCATCCAAATTGACACTTGCAGTTGACAACTGATGGATAAAAAGCTGTTTATCTTAGAATTAGACAGTTACTTGGCTCATGGTTGATATGCTTTCAAGATTAGGAGTACCTTGAAGCCAATGGACAGGGATCGATAATATTTTATAACTGTATAAAATCACTACACTAGTAAAAAGTTCTAAAAATATTTTTAAAAATATACTTTAAAATCTTAAGCTGATGAAGGCTAGAGTTCTTGGCCAAAACATTGAGATTTTAAGATATTTTTTTTACCAGTGTAACTATTTCATATAGTTAGGAACCCATCTGGTTATAACACCTTATTTAGAAGAATATTTCAATCATCAAGGACTCCACTTCCTTATTTAGAAGCCTTGATGGGTTGTAATTGTCATTGCCTGTGGTGTGCTATCTGAATTGTCAGCCAACATACTGCTTCCCCACCCCTCCTCTAACCCAGAAAATGCAGTAAAGATGAGGATTGTGACTATTGTTGGTTCACTGTGCCATGGATACTGGTAACTTCGTTGACGACCCAATTTACCAACACCATTGAATGAATAAATTTATAATTGTAATAAATATTTGTATTAAGCCAATTATCTGTGATGTTAATTATGCACTCTACCCTAAATTATCTGGGGTATAAATGCTACTAGTTAATCATCCTTGTGACACTACAAGATTATTTTTCTGGATTTGAGTTGAATTGTTTCACTTTCACATTAAATCTTGTGCAAACTTAAATTTAGTTTTGCAATTATTTCCATTCTTGCCTTTGCCTTTTCCCTTATTTGTTCAAAAATGGCAGATGGCTCAGGACCTCAGTCAAGTCACTGTGGCAATCATCTCTAATTGTGCCACCAAAACCCTTAGTTTACTTGGCTCAGCTCAACTACATCCTTAGTGAAAGCAAATTTTTATACCATTAACATACATGAAAAAATAGAGGCTTCTTATTGGCCAAAAACAAGTGCATTTTTCATGTAACACAAGTGCAAAGTTGTATCACGAGTGCAAATAATAGATAGCACATGTGGGCTGTAAAAATTTTGTCTTTCTTGACTTTCTGTGATGCATTTTTCATGTTAATTAATTACCAGTTAACTAATGTTAACTAATTATCAGTTGAAATATTTATTGTTGCTTATTTTTACCAAATTGCACTCAAAATCGTGTAGTTACCTAAAAATTGAAAAGGTCACAACTCCGCTATCTGCGTGTTACTAAAAAGAGTTTTTAAATAACTGATACTATAAAGGCTCTGATTGGTCAAAAAGCCTATTTACATTACACAGGTAAACCCATGGTTATTTTATAAAAGCGGTAGACCACAGTTTCTATAAATTTACCGATGTAATGACTAAACCCACTCGAAAAGTTTGTATTAACGAGAATCGGACTCGTTTTTTACAAACTTTTCTCGTGTTCTTCCTACTTTCCAGGTAGGTTATTACTCTACACCGACAAACCGACACAAAGAGCGGTCTGTTGCTTCATTATACCAAATGACCGATGGAAAATTAATTGGACGGAGAAGCGATTGGGCACAGTGCACATGAGATGAAAGCAGTTTGGTTTCTCTTGCGCCCTAGAAGGTAGGGAAATGTTTTCTTTTTCTAGTGGTGTTTACCTGTTATTTGTCAAATTTGATTCCATCAGACCATCTTGATCATGTTGTTCTCCCAATAAGAGCTAGATTTGTGCCAAAGAGTTTCTATCCCCGTGGAATACCTATAAAGGTGTGACAAAAGGTGAAATTGAAAAGGAACCCTCGTTCATTACCCTCGTTTACTTTCGATCTATCACCGCTGACACCAAAATTCGTATGCGCACTATCTTAGATCTCGTTCCCAGATTCTCTGTTGATCATGGGAGTGGGGAATCTGGAAATGAGATCCCATCAGTCTATTATTCGAATTATTCGTTTACATAGGGGGAGAATATTGCGGAGTTTTCTTACGCATTTTGTAGCAGTTAGATGTACCACGCAGCTCAAAAGGAGGTGGATAAAATACTATTGACTGCTATAAGTTCTGAGTGCACGGTTTTAAATCTCAGTCATCGAGATCTGACCGTACTTCCCGATTCTTTAAAGGAACTTGTCAAAGTGAAAACGTTATTGTTGAATAACAACAAGATTATTATGCCTCCGATGGAACTTGTCACACTAGAAAATCTTCAAGTCTTAGCACTTGATCATAATCAGTTAACACTAATACCTACGGGATTTCGGCAGTTATCGAACTTGCGAGTTTTGTGTTTGAGTCACAACAATCTAGGATTCTTACCTTCAGAAATAGGGGAGTTAACCTTTCTCCAAGAACTTTGGATTGTCAACATCCAGCTGATGGCATTACCACCTGAGATTTGCAAACTTGTGAACTTGGAGAAACTTGGTGCAGGATGTAACAATATCAAGGCTTTGCCCGACGGATTTTCAGCTTTAAAATCTCTGAAGTGGCTAAGTTTAGCAAAAAATCAACTTTCGTCTCTGCCTAGTGACTTTCATTGCCTCTTAAACTTGATCCAGCTCGATCTTGCTGAAAATCAATTTAGCAAATTTCCTGAAGGTCTGAGTGGACTTCATAAATTGGAGAATCTGATTCTGCGCTCAAACATGATTCAGTCTTTGCACAATAACACAGTAAAAAAATTGCCAAATTTGAGTCATGTGGACCTCAGGGACAACAAATTAACTTTACTTCCAAGAAATCTAGAACGTCTACATATATTCTGCATTGGAGAGAGACAGATTTGCAGAGACATTGATGAGAAGAGCTTACAAAAAGTAGACAAAATGCGGAAGAAGCAGAAATGCGACTAAAAGGAGTTGATAGCTTAAGGCAGGGTAATGAAAGATAAATAGGCCTTCTTTGATAGGGATGTTCATTAAAAAGTGGAAATTGGAATGCTCTTCTATTCAGGGTTGATGTACACTGGGACTGAACTGATTTTGCTTTTTTATGCTCTGTGATTGGTCCAGCAAGCTCTTGCCATTTTTCTCATCAATTTTAACCCCTTAGAGTGACTAACATCTCATTTTTCCTTACATCATCACCCCTGAATCACATTTTAAGGTCATAAGAATAAAGAAATGATTACCAACTAGAGACATTCTTGATTGGTTGAAAAATTCTTCCAATCAGCATCTTAGGAAATGTCTAAAGGACAGTTTAGAGAATATGTATACTGATGTTAAAGTGTAGAGGATTAATCAAGATTTTATCTTTTTACATTGGTTAGTACACTTCACATTCAGAAATGTATTGTGCTTTCTTTCATATTCTAGACAAACCTTCGGAGGTGTTGTAGACTGTGATCAGTCCATCCATTTTTCTTCTGGAATCATTGAGCTGGCTCAACTAAAACTCGCACCATCATTTTGGATTATGAGGCAAACAGACCACTTTTGAACCCTACAGTTGATGCTCCTAATTGACTAGATGTTGATCAGGGTGGATAAACTGCTATAGTTAATTATTGAAAAGCTCACATAATGTTTTACTGTGATAGCCTTATGTTAGAGCTAATCATGACAGCAGTTTACCCACCCTGAGGTGAATAACTATTTTTTCCGGCATGTTAAAAGCTGTATATAGCTCTACTTTTAGAACCTGTCAATAAAGCTCAGTCTGCAACAAAAAATTTGTGGGAATTTTAATTTTCACCTGCAGGTTGACATAGGTTGTGGCTACCCGACTGATTTTAAAAAATTGCTGAAGTTTTAAAACCCACTCTCTTGCCAAAGAAGTGTTGAATAGTTATTTTTTCGTAACCAGAGAATTTTGGGACAAAAAAGTCTCGCATCTATACCTCCCTCCCTTTTTCTGTTTCTCAATTACACCTTAGGATCAGAGATTAATGATATTTTGACCACATTTTACCCCTAGCCCCTCCCCCATCGTGCTCAGAATAGTCCAGAACAAAGGTTTGCCATATTTGGCACGTTATTAGTACGCAGCCGCGCAACAACTGTCAGTGAATCAAAACGTCCTACTGAAAAATTCTAACTGTGTAGTCCTCAACCAAGCGAATGGCTTATTGTGTTATGGATGATTGATTGCGTGTCTTTTTCCTCGATGGCATGTTACATTTCCTCTTAGCCTCACTGGTTCGTGAAATGCCTCCAGTGTGCCGAGATTTGACGTGCTCTGAGCAGATCCATTGACATGGAGAAAGTTCAAGTTGAAGTCAAGATTGAACTCGGACACAAAGCTTCTTGTAAGAAAAACCCTAGTCCTGACGGATTTACACACGACTGGCAAGTTTTTGTACGAGGACCAGGGAGGGATGACATTTCCCATTTCGTAGAGAAGGTTGTGTTTCACTTGCACGAAAGTTTTCCCAAGCCGAAGCGAGGTAGGCCAGGGTAATTCCTGCTCAACTCTAGCTTACAAACTCCATTACTAATGCTCTTGTGAAGCTCTATTGTGTTAAAAGCTTAGGTACTGTCTTTGTTTCCTATATTATTTTCTTAGCGCTAGTGACATGAATGGCTAATTTTGATGTAACATATGATATTAAGGTTTAATTCAAGGCATTACCTGGTGTGATTTGCTGCTGATTTGCTGCAAATGGCCACGGCTTAAATCTGCGTAAATGGCATGAAGAAGCTCGAAAAATTGCAACTTTTATTGTCGACAAGATGCTTATAAATTAGATTTGGTTGTCTTTTTATTTACAAAAGCCAACCTCTTGAAAAGTGGGATGTTGTGTAGCATTTCGATATAAACACTACCTAATCAAAATCAGCGGAGATATCCTAGCGTAAAGTTCAAGCTACTTATCTCGTCTGGTTAATGTTGTTTTTCAACGTTGCGCCATTACCAAGTTTAAAGCTTTAGAATCGCCAACCATTACACTGTTCTTGAGGAGATGTTTAAATGGGAAGCTCAGTCTTCCTGTTCAATACAGGAATTGGACACTTTTCCTTGAAATATTTGAATCCAAATAAATCAATAAACGCGAGAAAATTTTGCATGATTAAGAAAATTTTGCGTAGAGGTAACAGGGTCATCAACCCACAAGATGTGTCGGTTGAATTAATTTTCTTGTGATTGATGAAAACGAGAACTAGATTTTAGTGGTATCGTAACGAATGCACTGCAGTTGTTAGTGCTATTGAATTAACGCTTATACTAACTTGATTTCAAGGATAAGGTTACATGTATTGGCCCCTTTGAAAATAACTGATTCGGTTTATTTGCTTTCATTGTTGGTCTTGTGTAAATATTGCTATCCACAGTTCGTCTGGAACGTTTAACATTCGATTGGCTTCTGTTTTTCTGTTTTTACTGTGTTCAGGAAGCTAAGTAGGACAGATTCGGGTCATTTAAACCTCCCAGCATCTCGCGTCTTTGATTTTAACAGCTGCAACGGAAGAAAGATAAATGTCTCTCTGTTCAACTTTTAGAAAGACTGTTTTCTTTAGAGAAACTCATCTTCGAGGAAAAATAATTTGCTGACCATGATAATAACATATCTTAGAAATGAAACTTTAAAGCATATGCCAAAAATTGGAATTAAATACACCGTAGGTAATAATTTTGATGATGTAGAGTTGAACAGATCAGTTATCTGTTGTGTGGAGAGACAATGGATCTGAGATTGCATCTTAAATAATACTTATGCTCTCTAGTTTGAATTAAGAGCCCCTGCTTACACTCTAATTTTTAGGGAGAGTTTCACAGCAACGAGAATAAGTAACCTTCAAGAGGGTTGACAAAAAATGACATTTTGGTGTATAAATGTAAGAATTCTATTTGTTTGTCTGCGACTTGTGTATTCTCAAGACAGCTAAGTTATCCTAATGTATCAATATTTTTGAAATTTTGTGAAAGCAATGTAGCCTTGTTTTTTTTTTTCCAGAAATTAGAGAATAAAATTTCTTCAATGGAACAAATTATTACACAAGGCATACATGAAAGTTTACCAATATCTTATTTTGTCTTTAAATAGTAGAACTGAAAAAGCCTTGGTGCAGCTTGTCCATGCCTGTACCCTTAGAGAATGCATAATGATAATAAAAGAACAAATAATCTTTATGAAAGGTGTTTCACACATAGTCCTCAGAGAATTCATGGAAAAACAAGTTACAGTAATGCAGAAATGTGGGTAAAGTAACATGCATGATAAAGTTGTAACCAAAGTTTTAAGAAAAAAAGATTGATATTATTAGAAAACTGAATTTAATGAATAGTTTATGGCATATGAAATTGTATCACCCTTGTTTTAATGATTAAAATTATTATATCAATGTTCTTGTAAGTAGAGCTTATTGAGAAGCAAAATCAAGTTTTAATACCTGTTGTCATATTTCTCTCGCAGTTTTGAAGAATCCTCCATATGCTGTCTCTGAACATGGTTATGGAAGCTTTTTCCTTCCCATTGAAGTCTACTTTAAAAACAAAATAGAACCAAGGAAATTACAGTTTGACTATGATCTCATCCTTCCTGCCTTTGGCTCCTTGCCGATTGATAACATTCGAAGTGAGGCATTAACTTTCACAAACCCTACTGATGAATTTAAAAGAAAGCTGGTGAAAGGTGGAGGGATTGTCACAAAAACAACCACAACAAATGGATTTCACAGGTACTGTAAATTAGGATGCTTTGGATTTACTTTGCTTGTTCAAGCAGTCTTGTATTTGCTTGAATAAGCTTGGGACAGAAAAGTTAAAAAGCACTTCCCCTCCATGGCTTTCTTAAAAAGAAGGGATGCAAGGAAAACAAGAGTCTCTGGAGTTAATCACATAGTACATGAAGTATTGCACTGATCCAAAATCTATTGATTCAAATTTGAGTGTTCACTTGACATAGAAAATCATTTCAGCCTCAGTTAGTGATTTTGTTGCTGGAGCACCTTAATGGCAAGTGTGGTTCATTTTCCTTATTCTGTTTTCATATCCCTCTCCAGTTCATCTCCCCCTGTGAATGGATCAATATCTGAACAGACCACAGAGACCAAAGACACCCAAGTGACAAACAGCCTTGTGGCTGACGTTCGTGTTAATCCTCAAGTTTCATCACTAGCACAAGATCTTGATAAGAACAAAAAATTCAAACATGAAGGTGCAATAGCCAACAAGACTCTCAAAACACAAGAGGCGGCAACACCAGGACTTAAAAGATCAGCCAGCACATCAGGAACAGAGGAAACACAAGTGCAGCTGGTTAAAAAGAAGAAAAAGAAACATGATGAAGCCATTGCAAAGCCAGGGAAAGGAGTGGGGTTCATCCCCTTAGAACTGCCAGGTGCTAGTAATGAAAGCAAGGACAGATTGGAAGAAATGAAAGATATCAAGCTAAAAATAAAATCACTGTCCTCTAAGAGTCCTGCCACAGACAAAAAGAAGAATCGGCAAACCTCATTAGAGACTGGATTAAATGAGGGAGTACCCAGCAGTTCTAAGGGAAGAGAGTTTACATCATCCAAGAAAGTGAAGAAGAAATCTCCCAAGGAAGATATGAAACCATCTAAACCAGAGGAAAAGAAAGTTGAGAAGATCACGTTTCGGCGTCGTGGCTCTGGAGACAGCTGGTCAAGTAGCACTTCAAGTTCAAGTCTATTAGGAAATTTAGGTGGAAATATAAACGTGGCACTTGATAAACTTATGGCAGACCTAAGTGATGAGGATGATGATGATGATGGCAATAGTGGTGACATTTCTACCCCATTTCAATCTAAAACGGTAAACACAGGAACAACACAGAAGTCCGTTTCAGAGATTAGTGGTACAACACAAAATAAAGACACTGGCAATAAGGTCAAGACAAAAAGCAGCTCTCAAGGGAAAAAGTCAGAAGGGAAGAAGAATGAACTGAAAAGTCCTACCAACAAGAATGTCTCAGCAAAGCAAAGGTGAAAATCTACAGTGTTTGGAATTTATTTGATTGATGACCTCTGAAGTCGTGGAACAGTGGATCTTCAGAGTGGGGTTTTAATTGCAGAGGGTGACCTAAACATATACATGTTTTATAGCACCAAGTTTTGTCTTCTCGGTTTTTTCTGAAATTGTTAAGAAAATTAAATCCCTCCCTTGCAGGTTTCTCAACACAATGGTAAATGCTTTGTTCTTCCTTTTTGAACAACAAAGGTGATCTAAGCATGTTGCATCATTCCCTTCTTGATCAGTGAACACCATTTCAATCAGGCCTTCAGTGTGTTTATGATCACTTCCTTAGTCTCTAGTGTTGAGAATTTTGTCTTTCTAACCCCAAACCCGGGTGTTAAAGGGCTGATAATGCTATCCAATGGATAAATCACTGTCCAGTGGACAAGTAATACCAAAACATACAACACTATCCACTGGATAGAGATTTAGCAGTATTCAACCTTTAAACAACCAAGGCCTGGTTGTCTAAAGACTTGATAGGGCTATCCACTGGATAGATTGCTATCCACTAGATATCATGGAACATTTTGTAAACATTTATTCAATGGGTAGCTCAAACCAGTCTTTAAACAACAAGGGCCAGGACTCTCAGGTATCCTAAGAATGTATTTACATTATTTTCTCAGAGTTTACATTAAGTCCAGATTTTTTCCTAATCTTGCAATAGTTTCTGTAAGTGTCATTAGATCCACACTCTCTTCTGCTAATTGCTCTCTTCTGCTAATTGCTGTAAAAGAGAGAGTGTGTGTGTGTGTGTGATGCATGATAAGCCCAAACAACAGCTGCAAAGGTGAGTAATGTCCCTGAGACCACAAAAAATGGTTCAAGCCAGGGCAGGCTTGAGACACACAGTGATTCACACTGACATTAATCCATACAAGATAAAGAAAATTTCAGCTTCTTGGGATTTTAGATACTTGGTCTACAGTTGTCAGTGCTCTGTGGTTGTTGAATTGTCCTTGATTTCAATTTTTTATGTTTGTCTTGTAGCCCAAAACAACGACAAAAAGACCTAAAGAAAGGAAGCAATGGACAGCGAACACCTTCATCTGACTTAATTCAACTGTACAAGCGTCTTGTAGCCTTGAAAGACTCAACTCTCCTTCAAAAAATAGCAGACATTTTAGAGAAAACAGGCCATTTTGTACTTACAGAAACAACACTGGACTTTGACTTGTGCAGTTTGGACAAAACAACCATAAAAAAGATTGAAAATTCCATCAGCAGATAACATTACCTGGAGAAGCTTAGAGATATCACATGCCACAGAGGGAGAATTTTGGGGAAGCCATCCTCATCTCTTTCACCAGTTTTCCTTATTGGCCTTGGGTTGTGCGAGAAAAAATTGTTCATCACTGTCTGCCCTTTTCTGCTTTGCCACCAATGTTGTGGAAAGTAGTCTGTATTGTAAAAAGCTGGACCAGGTACAACAGTGGAATTAATCAATCAAATTTGAGGATTCGTGAGTCCAGCCTGCTGAGATACTTTTAAAAAAATTAACTATTATATGCTCACTTTCAGGAGCAGAAATGAATCTTGTTCCACTTTATCTGATAAAGTGGGCTAAACAAATGCTGTCAAAATTTTCCACCAGAAATCCTTACAAGCTTGTTCCTTTGGTTTATAAAAACATGTAAACAACAACTTCAGGAATGTTTTTTTGTGGTAATACTGTTTCTTGAATATTGCATTTTACTAACTTATACTTTTGTGTACTTTGAAGAATCTGTGTGAAAACTGTTAGATTGTGGGTCTCAAATATACATTCAGAATTAGACAACTCAACCTGTCTTATTTGTAAATACCAATGAATTCTAATTTGAGTTATGTGGAAATGACAAATCACTTTAATTTGGTAATATAGCATTTATAGAACATCTGTTATATTGTTTTTTGTGTGTGTGTGTGTCTAGACTTTCACATCAAAAACTACTTCAGTCATTGAGGGTAACAATTCAAATTTGTTGTGTGGCATCACAGGAATAATAATTAGAGGGTTTGGTCAATCATACCAGTTTTTCTTGTTTGTGGTTAGTAGTACACCATGTTTCATGCAAAAACATCTTCATTTTTAGCAGCCAAGTTGAAAATGATCAAACTATCAGACCAAACTTCTAATTCCAATACTATCTCTCTATTTATTTGTTATTATTTAAATAATATAATTCTTTAACATTTTTGGAGTTTAGTCACTACTGCTAAAACAAGTGTATTTATCAAGAAAGAATATGTCAGATTTGATGGGTTGTTTAGGCAGAAAAGTCATAATTTTAGAACATAACTAACATCATTACCATACAGCTTTCCTTTTATTCATTATCAAATATTTGGTCAATATTTTTACGTTGAATCTCAGCAAGATTGCCAAGTGGCTTAAAGATGAAATTTCTTAAATGAGATAGTCTGATGCTGTCACAGAATCCTCTGCCTTCTATATTGAATTTAATATTATTATTGCCAATCTAATGGGAAGTTGTTACAAGTATTTCTAAGTTTAAACTTATAACTTTTTTCATCATTCAACTATTAAAAAGTTTATCTAGATCTGAAATGGATTTAAATTGAGACAAAAGGATATTTTCAGCCATATCATGCTATATAATATGAAATGTATCTCTTACTAGTTACTATTTTAACACTAGTTTGTTTCAGTCTGTTTCTGTAAAATTTTGTATCAATTTTCTTAAACCAAAGACTTAATTAAGATTATCATTTATTCATAGTAACATTCATTTATTGTAGATTTAAGTTTATCAGAATGTAAACTATATTATGGGAATCAGTTATGTTGTGAACAATAACTAATATAGAGTCCAAATGTTTCAGGTAGTAATATTTCACATTATTTATTTTGATTGCAATTTAGCAGGCAGTGAGTGGCTGACTAGCATGAAAAACAGAACTCAGAGATCAAAAAGTGGGTGTGCAATTTGACTATCATTGGACGGTATGATTATGGACAGAATCATAACATTAAGTGTTATTACTTTTATTACCAATAACAGCGTACAAAATTTTAGGGAACACCCAACTAGTTAATTCATATCCACAACAAAAAGTACAGCAGTCACCTTTCATTTTCAAAGGATGCGTACAGTTCAGACAGATGAGTTTGGTCCAAGTGCTTTCCTTCCTTCTTGAGTCATGCACATTGTCCTGCTAGGGCATATATCCTGAAGTTTTGATTAACCAAATGAGCACTGGTGGGGATTTATTTATCATTAGAACATTCAATCTTTGGATCTGAATCTATGACCTCTTTCCTTTTGACCAAGACTGTTATTGATTCTGATAGAATTCTGTATTTGTACTTATAACTTATTTTTTATACTAATATGTTTATAAGGACTCCAAAACCTTTGTACACTTTTCCTTTGGTTTCTTAAAGTTATAATTGTAAATAAAAACCTAACTTATTGTCTATAGTACTGGTGTTTGTCTCTGTTTCTGGTGACATGAGAACTTGGAGGAAGGGTCTTCTTTTGGTAATTGTTTAAAGGACATATAACAAAACAATTTTTGAATTTGGCTTTTGCATGATATTGATAATTATCAAACATTGATTCTGTGTCATCTGCCTTAGCTATTGGCTTTGAGAGACTTGCTAACTAATTTATGTTTCAAAGTTTGTCTTTGGCAAGAGTTCATCTTTTTCCATCTACAGTTCAATTTTATTAGTAAATTTGTAACATTTGTACAAAATAATACTGACACACCGAAGCAAGCTTTTATTATTTGGCCTACAGACTGCAATAATGGAAATAAATTACATCCACTCTGTTTCTGCAGTAAAGTACTATTTACAACAAACAATATATTTACAATAATCTGTTGATAAATTATTTTATAATGTAAATCTTATATTGCATGTCAAGAATTACTAGCAGATTCAAACTGACAACTTGAATAAGAGCTATTGTGATCTCAGGTGTTCTCTCCTCTGTTGGAACAGATTTCATAAATAGAGGTGGGTCCTGTTGTGTTTGAAAATAATTTTGCCACCTCACTATTAAGAACCATGCATCATGCAATGGCAATCTTCAACTGAAGCCATTTCCTTTCTAAAAATCTCTCAATTTCAAATTAAAGCTAAGCACAAGACTTCCTCATAAATATGACTCTATTTCTAGACATATAAAACCTCCTTTTTGTGTCACATTCAGGCCTCACAGTTGATTCTGTATCAAACCAGGCTTAGTTATGGCAATGGATGGCTTTATTTTCTTGAAGACTTGGAATTTTTAGACTGTTGTAGTGCTTCTGTCCCTAGTTAAACTGCAAAATCCAATTTACACATAGGCCTTAGAACAGGTCACAATTCTGACCAGAAGCCTATGGCCTAGATTTTGCTTCACTGTCTGTGTCCTTTAAAAGGGTAATCCTTTCACTCATTTTGATCACACTGCCCTGGAACACAGGGAAAATACAATTGAATTATTTCTGCCAAGTTAAGGCATTCACAAACCCAAATCTTTCCAACCTGGTATTTCCAGCAACAAAGGCATTTTCTCTGAGATACACCCAATTGTATTTGACCCTTTCACACACAACTCTGTAACTTAAAACAACTCCATCCAAAGCCACAGAGTCCACCAATATTTTCCCCTATGTGCGGTAGATATTGACACGTAGCCAAATGGGTTCAACACAGTTGCTCAGATTTTTGTTCCTTGGTGGTTCAATATTAGTCTCCGTCTCCAATATTAGTCATGTTGCCATTCTTCTTAAGTAATTTGACAAATCAGAACAATTTCAATTTGATTGTCCACACAATGTGGTGAAGCAACTCCATAAATAAGTGTTTGTGCAAAAGGTGTCAAAGACCAACAGGAATGATGTCATATGCCACAAGTGCTGATACCACAACATAACAACACCACAAGAAAACCAAGAAGAACCCAGTCATGTGTTTTGATGTTGCAGGACCACCAAGCTCTCCTCCAAAAATCTGAAAATTAAAGCAAAAGTAAACAGAAATAACTTACAAGTGAAAGCAACAAAGATACAATTTATAGAATAAATATTTTCTCTCTCTTTAATCCAAACATTTTTTTCTCTAATTACACGCACACAGTAACATTGCATTGACCCAGAAACTTACCAATATACCTCAGCAGTCAAAATTCATTATTTCATGAAAAAAAAATCATGTAATTAAATAGTTTCCACAGGAAAGTACATTTCTCACAATAATTAAATTCTGCATAACAATCAGCTCACCATTCTTCTAATGACAAGGGTTGCAAGGCAAATGAGTCCAAAAGTTGTGAAGACCAGCACAGAGAAAGTTAGATTACCACTGTACACAATATACTTTGTCCTCTTCACTGCATGATAACAAGTTGATATCACCCATGGCAACCCAAGACCAAGAAACACATTCACACTGTTACTCCCTGCAAACAACAAAGGTATCATATAACTAGACATGATCAATATATTGTGTAAATGTCTGTGGAAAAGATTTTTTAAAACTCTGTCTGAAGAACATTTTTATCATATTTATACTTGATTTGTGACTGAACTATTATACAAAAATCACTGGTTTTTAACCAAAAAACAACAAAATTCAAATTTTTGAAAAAACATCACGTCACAGTTTTTTATGGTTAAGTGTGCATGCATAGTAAGCTTCAACAGGTTGGAAATTGATGTTTGTCTAAAGACATCAAGTTCTAAGCTAACAATTCTGTTTTTTGAAACAAAGCTTGAGGAAACTATGTGCTTCAAGCTGCTGATATACACAATTTATTACACATTCATTAATATTTTCTAAATGATAAAAGTTTTAATATTACACTAAAATCCAATAACACCAAGCATTAAGAACCTCTAAACAAAAAATCAAGTTCACATTCAAACATGTCGAAAGTTTAATTAATCACTAATATGTTTAGTCAACATTAGCAGTGTCTCCAGTCCTCACTTCAGTACTTAAAATTGTGCAAACTAAATACAACTGCTGTTACTTTAAGTGACAATAAAGTCAATCTCATGGAAAATAAGCCAGCACAGTGACATGATCGGATAATGACTGTAGCAGTTGCACAAACCTGTGATATTCCCAATTGAGGCATCTGCTCCAATGTCTTGCAATGCAGCAGAGCGGCTGGCAAAGGTATCAGGTAAGCTAGTACCAATTGCTATGATAGTGATTCCTGTAACACTGTTCTTAAGTCCTATGGCACAACCCAGGAGTTTGCCAAGCTGTAAAACAACATGAAAATAAACTCTTGGCTAACTTGATATGAACATGTGCAAGAAAAACCTACTAATGACTAGCTGATTTAAAATACAATTACATGTAGTTACTGTTGTTAGTAAAAAATAGTTATTGTTTTACTTATTAATATATATTTCTTAATCAATTTATACATTAAATATTGAGAGTTTGTGGATCAAACATACCTGTTCTACCAATGCAGTCAGTCCTGCTATAACTAACAAAGACATGAAAAATGCTGGCCATCCACCACAACAGTTCCTAAACAAACAAAAAACAGCAAACAATTGTCTACATCTACTAAGGTTTTCCAAGGTGTAATGCTTAACCATTTACTTCCCAAGATCTAATTGTAAATTCTCCTCTCTTGCTGCTTAACATTTCCTTGTAGACTAGTTATGAGAATTGGGCATTGGATCAAGGTGACAACTTCTACCTGATAACCGTGAGTATTCTCATTACCTGTTTGGTGGATAATATATGGATATTATTGGGAGAAGTTATACATGTAAGTTAATCACTTCTTAGAGTTAAAGGTCAGATTAAGTTTATGTCTTGTGTCTCTTTCATTCTCTTCTCTCAAACACATAAAAGAGCATGATTGTGGTGAAAGTCTGCAAAAGCAACATATCAATGTAAAATAGAAAACAAAGGAGTTACCTTGGAGGAATAAAGGCAAATAGCACTTTCCAGAAAAATGTGAGAAAATGAAGGACAAAGTCCATTATGCTGAGTGGTTCTGTGTTTCCTTCATCATCCTCCTCCCCTTGAATAACCATTGCCCTGGTGTGACAATTGAAAATGGTGTTTGAAGGATAAAACAACTTTGGAACATTCTCATTACACAGAAATAAATTTACAAATTGTAGTGGTCAAGGAGAAATGTTTAGAGTGAAATATTCAGCACTTACTCTTCAAATTGTGTTCTCCAACTTTTGGTCAAACTTTGTTCATCTTCTGCTGTCATAATGTTGGCAACTCGCTCCACAATGTTATCAACATCTAAGATGTAAATCAAAATTGAAAGTGAATTCAAATCTGAATATGAAAATAGTATCAATACTGAGACACACATCCAGTACCCTGCTATGCCAAGCTATGTCTTAATGGTGTCTTTTCTGTTCGTGATGGCAACAATGATGATAATAATGATTGTCCTGATACGAAGTAAGCTGGGACTGTATGTGATTCAAAAGGCATTTTCATGATGCCATTTACTTTTACTAGTTATGCAAGGTAAATTAATAACGTTATAAATTAAATCAAACCAGTTGAAACATTCATGGATGTCAGCCAATCTACCCCCCCCTCCTGGTCTGAGCCACCAATACAACAACTTTTGGAAAAGTGGCTTCCTTATTATCAAGCAATTTTCTTGGGTTTATAGACTAAGCAACTAACACTTTTCTTGGGTTTAAAGACTAAGCAACTTGCAACACATGTTTTTTAAAGAAGCTTACCATTTGTAATGTTTATAACTGCTGCACTTTTCTGTCCTATTTTAGCACCAGGGCTTTTATCACTCAATAACACAATAAAGTTTTTATTCTACAGAGAAAGTGGAACAAAATGGAAAATGTTAAAATTGGCCTTATTTCTTTATTATCTTATTTCTTTTGTTAGCCCCCAGCTTAGTGTCTCTATACTTCAAGGCAGTATCTGTCATCTTAAATTTTTGGTGGTAGGTCTATAATTTTTCCATTCAACATTTCTGTTCTACTGCATTCTGCTATACTGTAAGTTTGATAAAACAGTGTACAATTCAATCACCGTTAAAGATAAACTACGCCTTGATAGAAGATTATTCACTAGGCACACTGATATATTACTAAAAGTTTATGATATTACCTAATTTACAGAAAAGGGCAGTTCTGCAATGGTTTTAGAATGAAAAACATCATGAGCAACTTAATTGTCACGTACTTTATATAATGTGCAAGACAATTCAGAACTGTAATCCTTACAATGGATATTCCTCCTCCTTTGCTCATAAGTTGACATTTATTGAATCAATTTAACCAACATAATGATCACAGAATGCATTTCAATGGAGTGTTTTCACACCAAAACCAAAGTAATCATGACAGCCAATCAGAAGTTAGGAAAATATGAAATGGAGCCATTGAGAACCCAAAGTAAAAACAGGTAAACTATCTGAAATGTGAAAAACACAAATGACCAACTTTCATTAGTCTTGGTTTTGAATCTGATTGGTTGAGAGAGTGGCACAAGTTTTCTGGACCAATCACAGAGTGAAACAAAGCAAAATCACAGCAACCCTGGATTACTTTTGACACTCAATTTAAAATTGCTCTCTCAGCAATGACCACCTTCCTCAAATTATCAATTACCTTGCAGTCAGGATTCACTCTTATTATTAGTTGTTTGGATGTTTCACCATGTTGAAAATACAACTTTCCACCAACTGCCTGTTCATAATCACACTTCTTCTGTTCAAGTTCCTGTTCTGTCCCACCACTGCCTGTACCATTCCTACACAAACAACATACCATCAGATCAGATGAACGTATGCTGAGGTGAATTTTAGTCACCTAACTGTATAATACTACATGACTGAATTACCAGATAATGAAAGAGAGAGGATATGGGAGGATATGCAGATTGAGGAGATTAAGATGGGATTATCTAAACAAAGGTCAACCATTTAAACAAAGGTTTAACAAAACTTCATCCTAAACAATCCATCTGAATATTCATATTTGTGAACAGTATCAAGAGGGCCAAAAGCAAATGGTGGAAGGACATTTATCATCATTATTGACAATTAAATCAGTCCTATTATAGATAAAGCCTGAGACCCACTGATTATGTAAAACCATGGTTTGGGTTAGACATTGTGTAAATAACTAGCCCTTAGTGTATTTGTTTTGTTTTTATTTTTCACTACTGACAGCACTTACATGGTATTGTAGGTCAGTGTGACTGTGCCATCACAACCTTTCCTTCTAATTATGGTACAACTGACATCACCAGTAACTACATTTGCATAATAACTTGCTTTTTCAAAGGAGAATTCACCAGGCTCTGAAAGATAACACAAGATTGCAGTCATGCCACAGAAAAAGTGTTTCATATACTGTACATATCTATTGTTCAATTCTTAGAATTATTTCAAATATTGTTTATTTTCACACATTAAAATTCCCACAGTAGACAGCCTTTCTCTGGTTACAAGGGTGTGTCTTCTCTTATCTGAAGTTTGACTGCACTTCCAATGAAAGATATAGATTAAATCAACTTAACAATGAACTTTGACATTACCATCATCATCTATTATTGTGATTCTTGCCAAGTTTGGTTCTCCCAATTCAGCAGTTCCTACAGGATTCTTTAACAGTATATAGAAGTCTTTTTCCAATGCATATCCATCATGATGGACTATTGTAATTGTTAATGTCTTCTTGGTTTCTCCTGGACAAAATGTCTGAAAAACACACCAAAACAACATGAAACAAGGCCCTCAAAAAAAGAAGAATGAAAACAAATTTTATAATTATGGTGATGAAACGAAACAATGTACAACAGGATCTTTAAACAGAGAAAGCTTAAGAGCTGGGAAAATGATGTTAAAATGATAATAATAATAATAATAATAATAATAATAATTGTGATAATATCTGTCACTTTTAATAAGGTATTAAAAGTCAGGTAAAAATCTAAAACAAAGTTTTAGCATTAGCTGCCTCTATCTTCAAAATTCCTTTGACATCCAAATGACATGAAATCCATCCTCAGGTGAAAAATTCAGAAAGGATTCATTTTCAAATCTGAGCTTTGTTTCATATTTATTCTTTGCCTAACATGTAGGCAAAGTCAAACTTGAGAAAATGTACGTTGGTCAGTGGTGCCTCTTGAGTTGGCCCTGGATTTCATGCAGTTGAAATTGAAGGATTTGTAAGACTATTATTACACTCACCAATGTGCCTTTTAAATTATGGTAGTCCTTTCCATGTTTAGCACTTCCATCGCGAGTCTCGTAATCCACATAAAATGTTGTAGCTTGTGACTGGGCAGAATCCTCTGAAAGTTGAAATTCACCATTGTTCTCTGTGGACACAGCATCTCGTATGTTGTATACACTCTCCCTTGCTGGTAAATCTCCATTTATTTTTGGATTTGACAAAGGGACACCATTACTTTCCTGTTAAAAGTGGGCAATGTTAAATACATTTTACAGATAACTGATGAAGATCAAATGCAGGAACCATTATCATGATGGTAATACTATTCATTTGGTTATCAAAACCATGAATAATAGAGGATGTTTAAGGAGAAGGAAGACTAAAGTTACTACTAGCTTTTTGGTAATTCATGAGAAAAAAAACAAACCAAAAACAAACCGGAAAATCAGCTTTGATGATTGGAACTGCAAGCTGTTCCCATTTGCCATTAACAATGGGTGTTGATGGGTCATAAGGAGCTGATAATTGAAGTTTTTTACGTGGAACACAAGGTGATCTGTTGAAAGGAAAACTACTGTTATAATTACAAATTTGGGAGTTACATAAGTAAAAGTCAACTTGAAAAATAAAATCAGTAGAGCTTACGTAAACAAGAAGTTCTCACTGATTTGGATATTGCACAAACCTTGCTATCCTTTGACTGAGTTGCACTTCTATAGTTAGTTTCTTTGCACTTTTTACAACTGAATATGATGCTGAACTGAAGCTAAAGGTTTTTTCATCTGAAAGTAAAAATTTAACTAAACATCAACTTAGAAAACAGAATGCTGTCCATCAAACCAGAATTCCTCATACATGATTAGGTTGTGGGTGACACGACAAATGATGATAGCAACAAAATCCTGTGATATATATATTAAGGCAAAATGTGGTAAATTTGTAAGGAAAACTTGTCACATGAAATTCAATATTAACAATCTTGGATTGGCCCTTCTATAATTCTGATTGGAGTTACAAGGGTAGATTTCCATTTTTAAAATGGTAAAAGCACACAACTCTCACATTAAGCTGGAAATGATTCTGCAAAAAAAAAATTACCATCTTCATTTACATCATCATTTCTGAAATGTTCTCAAAATTAACTGACTACAAAATAAGATATACTAGAACCCACCTTAAAAATCATCATATATTACACTTAATAAATAAGGCATTTTTATTGAGAAGGGCATGGGATATGCATACTGTTAAGTTACCTCCGCCAAAAACTCTAGACCCATAAAGAGATTTTGATAGCATATTTAATTGTTCCTCCTGGTCCTTAACAGGTTCTTTTATACCAGGTTTCTGTCTTGTGATGCTGCGTAATGCAGCATGTCGAAAGCTGTAAATAAATCAAATAAGTTAAGAGGTTAAGTCTTTAGCCACAAAGGATGACAGTCCATTGCCAGTTTTGGCTGACAAAACTTGGAAGTAACCTGCTTCATTGCTTTCCCAATGAGTAGCCATTACATGACCGTTACCTCTGACTGGAAAGACACTCAATGAGTGTTTATTGTACCACCCAATAGCCCCACTAAAGCAATAACTAACCAAAGCCTGCAGTGTTGAAACTAAGAAATTAGGCTGCTGGCTGAAATTTCAAGTAAGGAAACTCGAATATAGCTTTCAATATCAAACAATTGTCATTGTATAACCTAAGAAGTGTCTGTTGTGCTTTACCAAACAACTGCTTTTTCATTTCACCAGCAACCAGTTCTGAGCAACAAATCCTGTGCCTGTATCAGAACCTCAAAATTAGGGCTCCTTTCTAAAAACCAACCACACTTCTCCCCAAAGAAAAATCAATGGTGGGAAAAACATCAAATAAGCAATTGAAAGTGTGAAAATCCCTTTGTTTTTCAAACAGAAGAACATCAATGCTCAAACAAACATTTATAGTACAATAATATTACCGTGCTCTGGTTGAAGCACTGTTTTGTGGTTGCTGGGTCATCTGTTTAAACTGCTTCAGGGCCAAGGCAACATCAGCTACTGTTTTATTGTCATTATAATCAGGATTTGATTCTTTCCACAAATTCACGACACCCCTAGAAACAATGAAGAAGTTTGATTGGTAAGAAAATGTTAACCTTCACCTTGACAAGATCTGCAGAATGATTACATTTCTTTAAAGAAACTTCAAGGTCATGAGGGTTTCACAAACCAGTTGGATTCCTATTCTAAATTTATCCTTCAACATACAGTATATCTTAATCCAACAAACAAAGAAAGCTCAAGTTAAATGATGATCTAAATAAATTACCTAAATAAAAATCATGTTACTGTTGAAACAAATGCAGAAGCCACCTGGAAAGATAATGCCTAGAAACCATTGTTGTTTATTGATTGGAAGGGGGGGGAGAGGGAGAAAGGAAGGTCAGAGGATTTTTTGATTGTGACACAATAAAATTTACCTGATCCACCCATAAGGTTCTGTAATTCCCATGACTCCCCCCCCCCCATATGCATTAGTAGTTAATTGACAGTCAATTTTCTGTAGTTCCCACTTTGTACTCTGTTGGACACAACTGATCCTTACTACAACCCCCCTGAAAAATGATGTGGTTCCCCCCAAATCCCTCAACCCTCCCTCCCTCCCCCCACCTCCCAGGAAATGAATATTGAATGCTCCCTTATGTCCACTAAATATGTGATAACAATTGCACTTTAATTTCAGATATATTTTGTGAAAACAAAATATGATTTGCTTGGCTTGTGATATAAAACCTAAATAACAATAAAAATACAAAAATAATATTGTCAATATTACACTAACCTTATTCTATCCTTGCTTCCATTCAACTCATTTTCACTTTGAAACAAAAGTGTAAGTATATTTAATATTAGGCCACTTGGAATTGACATATGATACATAAAAGTGGAGTGTTTAGTATGAATACTAGACTTTGATAGCTAGCAAACGGCCTTTCTTTCTCTTGTAGGGAAATTTAGGACCGATAAAACACTCCTTACCACAAGCATTTGGCAAGGATACTAAAAGGAAGGGCAGTATATCCGAACCTTTGAATTTCCCATTTAGACAGCGGGTTAGAGTGTTCAGTTCACGTAAAAACTCTGTGCAATACACGATTTTTATTTCATAAAGGAGATTTTTGTTGAAAAAAGTAATGCTAGGAAATACTTGAGCCCTTATTTCTTGAAAATTACACTCTCTATTTCAACAAACACAAAAAGTAATAAAAATAGCATAGATAAATTTATTGGTGAAGAGGATTTACCATAGGAGTGTTTGGTTAGAACGTAGATTAATGTTATTCATGCTTACCTAAATCTTTGCTGCTCTAAAGCTCTTAGTTCCATTGAACGATGAGTCATCATTGGACTCCCAGGTTCTGTGAGCCCAATCACGCGAACCTAAACAACAAAGAAACAAATAGCGTCTGAATTTCCAATCCCTGCATTCTTCGTCAAAAAGAACTGACAAGCTGAAATTTGTAACTCCCTGACGTAACTGTCCAACAGTTCAGCATGTTAAATGCTTAAAAGAGCAGCATAACTTATACCACTCAATTGTACCACTCATATTGAAGGAACGTTTGATAAAAATATGAAAGACTTGGGCTCGAGCAAAAACTGTGATCCAGTGAAACCATTACTGTACCGTTGCCGAGCCTTGCAAAGAGCGATCAGCGGCCCTCGCGCGGAGCTTGCGCGGAGCGTGGATTTTTGTAGAACTTGTACTTATCAAGTCTTCCCGCGAAACTTTGGCGGTAAAAAGTTTCTCAGCTGATCACACGGGGAAATAGGCCGAAGCAAACAAATTCTTATTGTTGTTTGCAAGGAAATTATTTAACAGACACTTCTGCTTCGGTTGTATCGAAACAGGTACTGTTTCAAAATCCAGACTCGAAGACGATAACAGGAAAACGGTAAGTAAACACTCAAATTTGTTAACATCGGGAAAAATAGGAAGAAAATTTTTATTTTGATGAGGTTTTCTTCTTTGCATCATCTAATAAAATTGTACGATGGCATAATCATATTTCATTGTAGGCATCGTACTCGTATTTGTTATTAGAGTGTCATAAACGCAACAAACTAAGCTTTTACAAAGTGACTAATAACATTCTTCTTAATTGGAATGTAATCAGGGATTACCGATTACCTCGGATGTGGTCAGAAAATAAATATGGTGAACGCTTGGTTTTTGTCTCGGATTAACTGCACTGGCTTAAAATTGAAAGGAGCAAACTGATGCTGTTTGTTGCTCTAAATTAATACTGCGTACTATCCTCGTAGTTAGTGACTCGTGTTCATTAGTATAAATCAAGAAAAAAACTGTATCGCTTAACTTCTTAATTTTAAGAAGTGATCATCGAAAATAAAGCCCAGAAACTTGCGAAAAACTGCAGAAGTGATGAACACAATGATTAAAATTCGAAATGGTTGAGCGAAATCAATACGAAGCAGTCAAAGAGAGATTAAAATGCATTTTTTTTTTATCGAATGTGGATAGGAGCAATGTTTCAGCCTTGATTAGCGAGCAAAAGAAACTGCAATCTTACTGAGCCCCGTAAAACGTACTTCTTTATTTTGAAAGTTACTTATCTCACCAACTGTCTTAATTAATTAATTAACTCCGTGAGTAACATAGTACTATCCCGTGAAACAAAACCGTTGCAGTGACAGATCATTGTAATTAACGTTGTTTATGAAAAGGAGTGTGTTTGTTTGGAGAGAGACAATGTGAACGTTTGTATATGATTTGTTAATCTTCGTAAGGTTGAAGTTAACGCTAAAATACGAATTTCGCTGAATGACGTCGATAGCCAGTGGAAATTTTTACAGAGGAATTTAGAAAACAAACAAGTAGAAAAGTAAACAGAGTTGAAGTACTGCGAATTCTCACGGAAACCGGATTGCCGCTGTAATTGTATTGAACAGTATTCACTAATTGAACGGGACAATGTGCTTAAATTAAAATTATATCAATCTACTTACCTCGGGACTTTCAACGCTTATAATTCTGCCTCGCTTACACCACCAGCCGTTATCCTGACACCAAGATGTGATGACAAGAAGAGGAAAAAAACTCAGCGTCACGAACGCTTCCCATAACTCGATCTCGTCAGGCGAGGACCATTTCAACACCACCAACAGCCAGACATACGCGAACAGCGACCACACAGAAGTGACAATAAAGACTCCCAATTCGCGAATCTTTTTTACGGTTCCGCTGGGAACACTTACCACACATAGTGCCGTGATAAGAAGCAGATTAAATGAAGCTGATCCGATTATGGTAAAAGTACCAAGACCATCTTTGTCCTCCTGTGATGCGTCCGGTACGTTTCCTAGATTTTGAACCGTCTCTACTACAGCTAAAAGAATCTCTGGCGCGGAAGATCCCAGCGCCATAAGAGTCAAATTAGCCACGGTTTCGTTCCATACAAATACTTCGATCTCAACGCGTTCTTGCTTTTCGGAATCGTAGCGTGTAACTTTGCGCTTTTTACTTGTTATTACCTCTATAGAGCTCATGAAAATATCGGCGATTATAGCGATCCCTAGAAATAAATAGAACATGGCAACTGTGTATAGAAATCCTCGAACTCCATCACTCCATAAATTCTCCGCTGGTAGTAGAAGCCAGCTTTTAAAACACGGAGTTTCATACTCTACAACGTATCCTTTCGAGTAGTTCGTGAAGTAGACCATTATTGTACTTGACAAGCTCGCTAAATTATAACTTGATCCAAAACAAAATCAATTTACGCCTATAGAAGGACTTGACCAGCGCTCGCAACAGAGCCAATTGAATGTAGCGAGAATTGTACCCTTCCAAGCGATCGTATGCACGTTTTCTGTGTCATGTAGTCAAAGACGTTGTAATGGTAACCCAACATTATGGTTTCTTGCTTATGTCAGGTCGTCTTGCTGTGCTAATGAGTTAATGAGCAGCCAGTCAGCTGTCTGGTCATTTTTTCCATTCCACGTTGTTTCTGATATCTGCCTTCGCCGCCATGGATTCGGTCCTCCACACTGTTTACAACTCCTGTGTCAAATAATGCAACACAGAGAACGAATTGTCACGGCAGTAACATTTACTTTTTCCATCAAACACTGTCCGCGCCATGGATTATAAACGACGTCACCACCTGGCCCTTCTCTAAAGATCCCGTTACCTTGGCAACAGCAAACAAAAGCTCAGGTGCTTATGTTCAGAAAAGATTTGTTTACTCGCCTGTCATTTGACAGAGTTAACGATGACAGTTGTTTGAGATGCAAATGAAAATCCTAGGTCGCGGTTATTGACTTTCGTTACCGTATATTGTTAACCAATTTTGTTTCAAACTTCGTTAGACATGCTCTTCCTTAAACCTACTTATTCATATTAACTTCGTGCGATAATCATTTCCTCGATAGCAATTTACTTGTGGAGCCTAAGCAAATCAACCTTCGCGCTATTTTAATTTAGGAGATTTGGGTGCACAATAGACTCCGTCTGAAAAGTTTTCTTCCTTTGAAATACAAATCTATAATGATTTTGACGGAAATTAAATGAATCGCTCTGGAAATTTACCTATCACGAAATTTTGCCGTCGAGATTTACTGCATGTAATTAGAAAGACCTATTTCTGTCTGGTCGACTTTCATCGTAACAGGAAGAAACTATTTAGTTTTATTATTGCTTTTTTCTGTTCTAATATTTCTTAATTCGCTTCGGCATAAAATGTGCATATTAAGTGATAACTTCCTTTTCCGTACAGTCAGTTAGCGCTTGTGATAAAAAATCTTAGGTCGTTCGCACTTATGAGTCCCTCTTTATTGTTTTAATATCTCTTCTAGATCACGGAAGACGAAAGAGGGGTTTTGCTACAACGCACTTTCGGTTGATCACATATTGCCTTGAGAAACGGAAGGCAAGGCTGGTTATTAGCGATGAGAACCTCTGCTAAATACTTAAATCTTTATTCGAGCTCTTAGCGTACTTCTGCGAAGGGTTTCCGAGCGCCTAAGTTACTAGTAAGCAATAACAGTAATTGACGGGCTAAGCAATGGTTGATGGTCAAAACGGTTACATAATTTACTTTACAAGCGTTGTCCCTTTTTTGAGTAGTCCGCTATGAGAGTGTGTTGATCTGTGACAATTTATAATCAGAGACATTTTCGCTCTATCCTTGTGACAGTGATGCTTGCAAATTAAGGGTTTGTTCTTCACTAGCTTGGAAAGTCAGCTGAGAAGTTGCGCTGTTTCCAGTACACAATTTGGGAGAAAAGTTAGCTTCCCTTCTAACAACAGAAAGGTTGAGCGAAGAAAATTGTTAATTGATAGAGGCGTTAAAGAAAAATACAACTTTCTTTCAGATCACAATATGGTCGTGGAAAGAACAAAATTTTACTCTAACGCTTATAAAGCGGTTATGTGTTCTCCGGAATAAATACCTTTAAATCTAGGGCATTTAAGTTACACTTGATTGGCAGAACATAAAACTGAACGGAAAATCCTCAAACAGGTGAATTTAGAGCTAACAAAATACTCCGAAGTAAGAAGCTCTTATGTAATTTTCAGTTCTACTTAGAATTGAAAATTTTATCTGAGAGGATAGAATTGTCAGTGTTTCTCAGCTGTCTCGTCAATGGCGATAGTGAGACGTAGTCTCAACCGTTACATAATGTTGATGTGTTTGTAATGCGAGCGCTGTATCTCCATTTGGTCATAGAAAGCCGCTTGACAAGCCATAAGACGCATCTTTATCACATCTTTAGTAAAATCGATACAATGCTCTTAAAACTTTTTATCATCTAAAATCATTACTAATACATAAATTCTCTCATTTTTAAGATAAAACGAAGCTTTCGACCGACTTAATGTAATGGGTCGGTGCTAAAAGGTAAAACAAAAGCACAATGATACAATTTCTAGGTCCGTCTTCGAAAGAATCAAAAGCAGCTTAGTGAAAACACTGTTACCTCTTCCGCTGATAGTCTAGTTTCCTACTCTAAAGTTAAGCTGTAGGTGTGATCATTAATCAAGTGATTCTATGCAGACTTCCTCTGATCTATTCCTTTTGAACGACTGTCACTTTCACTTCTATCATGAAATCATTTTTTTCGTATTGGATATGGCAATTCCTCGCCTTTTTTACGCTTTGAGTAACACACCGATTGGTCATAACAACTGTTTCGTGAGTCTTTCTTTGCAGGGTGCGTTCAAGTACTTAAAAAAACATTCCGTTTAGTATTTTTGTTTCTAGAATTAAATCAGATTTCAACATGTACAATCATATTTCAGTCCACTGATGATCGAAAAGTTGAAGTTTTCTGGCGCACACAAAGAAAAAGCTAAATTTTGGCTTTCACTAAAAAAAATGAAAATGTATGCTATTACTGGTGTTCTATAAAATTAGTTTAGGTTCCGTGATGATTAGGGGAATTTTTTCATAGACATTTCGCCGGAAGTCTCATCAATTTTGCACTTTAATTTTCGTGGAGATAGTTTCTATGAAAATGTTCGTACTTTCATTTAACTAGAGTTCTAAATCATGTACTATGGTGCGTTCCCTTTGTTTTTATGCGCCATTGTATGAAATGGCACGTGCACAACCATCAGAAAATGTTCATCAAATTTACACAAGAAATTCGAGAGCCAGACGAGAGATGGCTGGGAAAATATGATGTTAATAAAACAAGAATTATGACTTTTATACGTCATTGATATTAGACGTATTTCCTTGCTTGTTCTCGAGATATAACACGGCAAGGACTTACAAATAATAGTTTTCTTCTTTTTTTCTCTAACATTTGTTTTTCATATTGTTAACAATTTATAATTTTTAACCACATTCGAATTAGAGTCGTATTCAGTATCGCTCCCACGCATTCATTATAAAATTTGCATGGGCACTGTTTTTTCGAGTTTGTTTACTCAATTCCAGTTTTAAATTTCCTGTTTTTAAAGCTTACTTTACACTCCTAGTAAGTTATGATTGAGGAGGTTTGCTGCTAAGGCGCATTTTAGCCGTAGCTACTGGATATCTGACAACCGGTTTGAAACTTACCGGCTAGAGATGGTGATCTTACGGGTAGGAATCGAACCTTCCCCTTCATAAATTAAAGACATTAATCAATCGTTTTATATCTGTGATAAAAGATACTATATTCTGATCACAACTATCACGCAATAACGAAACTAAACAAGCGATGATAGAAAGTGAATCAGAGTTGGCTGAAGTACCGCGCATAGCAGATGGAGACAACGGTCAATATTACGGCTCTACAGCCAACAGCAAGGCGAAAATGCATTGTCTCCGGCTATCTTTTACACAGCGCAAGTCTACATTCATTTCTTCTTGAAACAAGTAATTTAGGCCTATCCTGGCGGGGTTTAAATTAGAAAATAAACCTTGTTACCTAAGCGCCGGGAATATTTTCTACAATGTTTCCATGGCTACAAACACTTTATAACCAAGAATTCTACTAGGTAAATTGCGGTAAAACATTGAAAATCGGAAGTTTTAGGGATTGAGGAAGTAGAGGAAAACACGCGCAACTCGAATCAGAAATGAGGCAATTCCACTGGTCTCACCGCTTAAATTTTGATTATTTTCACAGTAAGGAAACTTATTTCCAAAAATGGTTTACTAAACAACAAAGCGAAAGAAAATGAAAGGTGGTATATTGTTTTTGTTTTCAATGAACAAGAGATATATCTCTAACAACGCGGCTTTAAGTTGAATTTCAAGATTTACCTCTGTAGGAAATCCATTTCGAGTGGTTGCGACAGCGAAGTAAATTTGTACTAATGTTAAGATTTGTATAACAAACGACGCCACCGAGCTGTATTAAACAGTTATGCGAAGACACTTACCAGATGGGCGAAAACACTGGTGGATATTTTCCAAGGTTTTCCCTTGGATGCCGCCTTCAAGATGTTCTTTTACGTTGCCGCTTGTACTGTTGACAGCGTTTTTCACCGACGCTTGTTAATAAGCATGCTGCCTTGCATTGCCTTGTCTCGTTTTGGCGAAAGTACTGTGTGCTTAATTACAGATGGTTTTAATTATTCCGAAAAGTGTTGCAGGTGTCTCGTCGATTTTGTTTTTTTTGTCAAGAGTAGAGGGGGCCCGTGCAAAAGGCCCCCGCTATCTTTCACCATTCCCTGCGTCACAGATGAATTATAGTTTTTTTTCAGGAAGCAAAAGCAACAATCATGAACTAACAAATCAGAAATACACAAGTGGTTCGAAATGTGGTATTTTGTCTTTATCAGTTTGGTTTTGTTTATTATTTTCACCCAAAGCAGGTGGGTCATGCTGTTAATTATCTGTTTTGGAGATCAGAAAACAAAAAGAAATTACTTGAATAGGATCCTTCAGTTTCCTTTGTTCAGTTAACTACAATTTAGGAGAAATAAAAACTCAATAGTTTCCAAGGGAACAATAAACGGAAAAAAACATCGTGATCCAGGTACCAATCCGACGGAAATTAAATTTTATAAGCTACAGAAGTTGTGAAATAAGTCTTCAGGCAAAAAAAATGCAAATAACAGGGAATTGCAGCAGAACAGTGAAGACCTCTCGACAGAACGAAATACACAACAAAGGATGCAGAATTAATATGCTTCTTTATCTGAAACAATAAACATCAGTGCAATGTAAAAATAAAGCTTTGGTACAGCTACAGAATGAACATGATCATTTCTGGAAAAGAAGTTAAAAACATTTCCAACTTTAAATTAGAAGCTTCGAGACAGTTTCTGTATTCGTCTTTCTATGTATTATGAAGTCAATCAAGATTTACATAAATTTCACTAGGCTATACGAGCACTGAAAAAGAAAAATATTGTGATAATGATAATGATGATGATAACGATAATAATTATAATATTTATTATATTATTATAATGATGGCAAAAAAAAAACGTTGAAGATGTTACATTACTTGACACCTTCACTTTTGGTCTTACTTAGCAAAGGTGATTTAGTTATTGATCAGGTTAAAGCAGCCAAAAGAATAACAGGAAGCTGACACACATCATTGTAACAGTTGTGGAAAACCCCAATTAACAAAGTGACGTTAGCTACGCCGCCCGAAAACGTGTTCACAAACCAATGCATAAAATGGTTTGTTGTCTAGCAACGCGTGTAAACATTTCTCCAAATTCAAATCTCAAAGAGGGAACTGTAAGAGTGTTTTCATGTTTTTATTCAACTTACTTGCTTCATTCTATTGCGTATACAAAGTATTCATTTCGAATTCATTTGAGTCACGTTTGGCGCGTATCCATAGAAACATGATTATGTCTACGTTGTTTCTGTGATGAAATAAAATGCTTGGTTTACTTTGCGTCGTAAACATTAACAAATGACATTACCAAGGAGGTCGCAAATGTTTCCTGTCCAAGACTCTTTTCAAGTGGAACCTCACAAAAGATAAATATTTATACCTCTGCTCTGTTGAAAAGAACTACAAACGTCATGGTTATGTAATTTGGCTCTAAGAATTATTCAAGTTCTCCATGTGCAATCGCTGGCAATTCAATTAAAGAATGTAACCTACAGTGGTTTGCTCCTCTAATCATACTGTCACTTAGTCAGTAGTCATCAGTGTAGCTCAGATGCAAAAAAAAATTTTTCAATTCTAATTTCGAAAAAACTATTTTTAATTCGTTATATGTTGTTTCAGCGCTGTGCAAAGCGTTTAAAAACATTGTTCGGTAGAATCCATAATTGAGCTCACTCGAGGTTAAACAACCCTTGTTAAAATGAACCGAAGATTCTGGACCTCCAATCCGAGTACTGATCTCAGAAAATATTTGAATGATTTCCGAAGGCTAGTAAAACCGAGTAGTAAGTACCAAATGCATTCATTCAAGACATTTTTCTTGACGTTTAGTTTTAGATTTATTCCTGGTTATAGTTTTCCCATTAATTTCGGTAAATAGGTTGTAAATATTATGATAAACACTCCGTTTCCATCACAATGGAACAAGCATCCTATACAAACAAATTTAAACACTGAACAAGTTAAACACAAATATCCAAATCATGCTTCCTGACGATTCTAAAAGCCGGCGATTGAAAAGAAACGAGGAAAAAACTATCAAAAATACAGTTTTCTCTCTAGGGTATCCAGAGTTTCTCGTTTATTACTATAATCACCGTTTTCTTGAAAATCTGGAGACTGCGGAGCGAGTATGTCATCACAGCCATCCTTTTGTTTGTTAAGCGTGCAATCTACGTACTCTTCAATGCTCTGCTCCAGAAACTCGAGCGGCACAGACCCCTGGGATAACACGTGGAAATGAAAATCTTTCAAATTGAAATTCTTTCCCAGTCTCTTTTTAGCATATTGTCTCAGTTTCATGATGTGTAGTTGACCAACCATATACGAGGTTGCCTGACCGGGCGCGCTCTGGTATCTAGTGACTTCTTTCAGTGTGATGTCGCTATCATCCCATACGTATTTCTGGAACATATTCAGTGCATCCTCTCGTGTGAGTCGTTTGGAATGTAACCCAGTGTCCACTACCATGCGTAGAGCGCGCCATAGCTAAAATCCAAACATGCCATCGCGAGGGTAAGCCAAATTACATTTGGGTAAATCTTTATGACGTAAAACGATATAGAAGAGCGCGTTTCGATTAGGCGTCGATCGTAAAACACAAGTTATCGCAACAGTCAGTCATAACAAAGGTAAATATACCGAACAGTAAAAGAGAACTCGTACTGAAAATTTACTTAGGCCCTCCTTAGGCAAGGGTAAGAGAGGGGGGGTTGGATGATTTTGGTTTTGTAAGATAAAATTTACCTGATTCCCTCCAGGAGGTTCTGCAACATACTTGCTAGGCCCCCCCCCCCCCTCCCAGCCCCTCACGGGTAGTTAAAATACTCCAACTCCCAAGTTGTTCTTTAGGTACCGCAAAACGTAAGTTACCGATTTAATGGACTGTCATATGTTCGCTTCACTCCAGTGGCGGGGGATGTAAGAGTTTCAAATATGATTTTAAAGAATTCGTGGATCAGACTGTCCCTATAAACAGCGTTACTCGCAGTTCTTGTGATAAACAGTCATCTTACTTCTGATTCTCTTACCTGAGACTTGAGCATTCCATATTTGTACAGCGGATGCCCTTCGTATACATCTGTATCATATGCAATGAGTGGGTTCTCAGCATATAGGGCCCAGCCCTCTACGAACGCGGTGTATGATGTCACTGATGACAACCACCTGATTATACCACCACAAGAGTCCTGAAAATGTTCGGCATAACCTTGTCGCTAAAAGAGAGAGAATTAATTACTGGGTTTTTCCGGTTCCCAAGCTCATGTGGGTGGCTAATGTTAAATTGTCCCCCTGCATAATTTCTCTTATTCCTTGGGAAGAAACGTGAGGCGATTTTTTGTTTTAAAACAATCAAATCCGAAACGCTCTAGCAACTGCAATCGCACTCACCTGAGTGTGGTGCCCTGGTCTCGCTTCATGAGCGTTCACGCTCCATTGCATATACCTAGGCCCAGGCCTCTCAAGGAAGAAAGGAATGAAGTACTTCGCGTTCCTACTGCACTTGCTGTCACTTTTCAAGTAACTCGGTACGCCAGCTGAAGGATTGAAATCTGGCACTATTTCCAGCGGACAGTTCGGAGTTGAGTGTTTCTTTCCCGTGAAGTAGAACATCTGGGAAGTTTTTGGATCTAACATACTCATGACCTAGGAATAGAAAAACTGCTTCAATCTCTGAGAGTTATAAAGAGCGGCACAAAAAAGATGGTAGAAATGTGAGGAGACAGAGCGGAAAAAACTCTGTAACTGTTACCTCTCTTGTTTCTGTGAACCATCGCTGAATGGCTCGCCAGCGATGTGGACAGTTTTGCCTCGCGCCTTCCACTGAACTGCAAAGCCTGAACGCGGTGCTGCCAGACTCATGAGCCGGAATGGGTTGGTCGTTGAAAAACATATCAGAGTGATTCATCATTTTTACGAACTCTTCCTTTGCTGTATTGTTGTTGTTTTGCCCGGTGAATTGACGCGCTACTTCAAGGGCCTAAAAAACGGTAAATTTTATGATTTTATGGTGAGCCGTTCTGCGTCTAAAATGAGATATTTCAGTTCCATTATCAGCGCTCATGTCCTAAGGAGACGCTCCATATTACCTAGTGTCAAATCATTTATATAAGACTGAATTCTTATCAACTGAAAATTCTTCAACCTTGTTTCCCTTGCAGTGACCAAAACCTGAGCACTAACGAGTTAACCCCCTCACTCCTAAGATCTCATTATTAATCCACCATAATGTCTGTCATACAATTCTGGCGAGGTTAGTTAGGAGAATTTGGTACTGGATCAACTGATAATCCCTTTATTGACTATTTTCTTCATTCTCGTAACTCTTCTGTTTGATATTGTATTGATATTGTAAGGAGAAATTCTCTCTCAGTCACTCATGGGACTTAGCATTGCTTTTTTTTGTTCTGCTTGACAAGAGGTAACGACTTCGTTTGACGTCGATTTGAATAGTATGAAAACCGACCTGAAACAAAGTAAATTTTACTAACCTCAGGGTAAAGTTTGTGAAGCATCTTATATCCAAGTTCGTGCACCTCATCCGGGGTATTATTTGTGGTAGTGAAGTATGAAAGAATTTCGACGTAAGCCCGCGATCCGTTCAGAGGTTCTCCTGACGGTAGCACTTTTGTGGTTTTTCGGTTAATGTCTGCGGTTCCATTGACATACACGAAGGAGAGTGGGAGGAAGGACAAACCGCTGGACACACTGCTCGGCACACAGTGTTGCATGTGTTCATGCTTAAGGTATCTAAAGAAATGTAAACCTTTTGGTAAGGTTAGTCCTGGTATCATTACAATTAACCCCTTTCCACCCCTTCCTTGTTCTACGCTATCCTCACCCCCCCCCCCCGCCCCACTTTCTCGTTTCACTTACAGTATTTCATTCCTTTCTTAGGCTGAAGCGATTCTATTGTGAGCTTAGCAGTGAGAGAAAAGCGCCTCGCAAGACTGCCGGATTTTTTGTCTCGAATGCATGTCTTATGGGCTTGTATACAAACGAATCTCCCCTTATCGTTGACAAACCTTCCTTGCCCAATCAAAGTCCTACTTTGCATTTGATCCCCGTTCGAGGCTTGTCAGAGCACGATAGCGAGGCTAAATCAGACAATGCCCAATACAACAAGGGAATCAATGCAATGCACCAACTTACCTTAGTAATTCGTAAATTGGCCTTCCCACGTATTCCAAGACGCTCTCCCGGAGTGATTCTGACGGAGTCTTTCCCGCGTGCTTCTCACGCCACTCTTTCAACAGGCCTGAGTTATTCTCCAACTTGGATAAAAATTCTGATTTTAAGATTCCTTGCATGTAAGTCTCGTTGAAAACGCCTGAAATACGCACAAATAACAACAATAGTTGGTCCAATAAAAATCAGCGTTGAAGGTTAATATCTGTGTAACACAAAAAGGTTATAGATTAAATCAGACGAATTTTTAGCGTCAGTGCGACGTGTGAAAAGACACTGGTACCTTCCCTCCAACCAGGTCTGCTCTCGCAAAGAAAATTCCCTTTCTTTTTTTTTCAAAACTAATACCCGTTTAGAGCAGATGGGCCCAATATTAAGTATTCTGCTAATGAAGGACATTAAGGTTTTTAGCGTCAGATTTAAAAAGCATTTACTCTTTGTTCTTTTTGTGTAAATATTTGTAATAAGCGCAGATCACACATTCCATATTCGATTACAGTTTAGCTGGTCGAAAATCTGCTTCATCGCGACAACTATACCTTTATTGTTGACTAAAGCTGGATTCTGTAACAATGATGTTTTAAAGAGGAAAGTGTGTGGTCTGACATCGAACACTGCGTCAAAAGCTTCCTTAGCAGTTTGTGTTTTTTTATTAGAAAAAGTTCTTTAATTTACACTTTTAGTTAAACTCTTAGGAAAACAAAGTTTAACAATCAAACAAGTGTATTGTGTAACGTTTTCAAAGGAAAACACCCTTTTTCTTAATTTATCATTTAAGATGACATAATAATCCTTGTAATGACCCGCTTTACGCTGAAAACTTAAGTTTTATGAATAAATCACCCCATAGGAAAAATAGAACTTTAAGAATCGGTTTTTGTTCCAAAGAATATTTTTTGAAATAGGTCCTTTAGAAAAGGAAGCCCTTCATAAGACACTTTATGTTGGCTGACTTTTGACTGCTTAGGAAACTTAGATTCTCATTAGCAAAAACTAAACTGAAATACCCTTATCAGGTGCTATCAAATTAGAAAATAAGGACTTGTAAAGTAATTAAAGGAACATGTGTTATAAAATTTTGAAGTTATAAACCTACCGCTTGGTCCGCTAAACGAAATATTGAAGTAGTAAGTTTGCATAGCGTCGAGTCCTGCCTTACATTCCTCCACGCTACGCACCATTCCAGCTTTCACTCCGTAGCGCAAGTTATCGATATAGATTTGAAATGTTTGGTTTACTTCGTACAACTTCTCGATTAGAATATTCAATCCTTGTACGTCCGAGGGTTTGAAAAAGGGAAGGGTCTTCTCTAACAAAACCCCCACCGAGCAAATTGGCTGCCAACAGAACACATTCGGTCCAAGGAGATAGTCTCCAAAGTAGTAGTTTCCATCGAAGGGCGCTCCAAAGATGTGCCTAAGAAAATGTCGAACTTGTGCCAGAGATTTTCTTTCTCTTGACTTAAGCTTGCCTTCGTTGATGGCCATACCGTTTAGCTCTCGCAAAAGAGCTTTAGCTGTATCTGTTACGTGAAGAAGATTTGAAGGCCTCGGATTATACGCCTTGTACTTAAGTTTAACCTCCGATGCAGTCACTTTAGGCTTAAGTGAAATTAAAAACGGTTGCACGTCAAAAGTTTTGTCTTGCACTTTTTGCAAAAAAGCTTCAAGTCCATATCGTTTGGCTTCTTCTGAATAACCGCATCTTTGTACACGCCTCTTGTGTAAAGCACTAGTTTCGTACTGTGCTTTACAATGAGAGCCATTTTTTTTGACGAGCAAGATTATCCCTGCGATAAGGAAAGCGATCCCGACCACAATAACGGCGGCTGCAAGGATCAACGTTTTACGCCTATCTTTCGCTGACACCAATCTCATACCTAATACCTTTTCGCAGAATCAAAACTTGCGGTATTATCTGTACTACAGGCCGCAGCGTAACAGTGACCCTTTCGATCAAGGAGCAGCAAGATTTGAAACTAAATGATTTCCGCTAAAATATTCTCGGCTTTTCTTTTATGGTTTGTTTAGATCAGTAACTTTTATCCTCTGCTTGTTTAGCACGTTTGCTATTTAACCGCTGAACCAATCAAGGTGAATGGCGCACCTTACCAAACTGTCTTTGTGATTTTCGGTTCAATAAACCCTAATGTGCCGGCAATGAGCGCGCAAGATGACCGGGAAAACAATTATCTAGGACAAATGAAAACAGTCAGAACAAATAGAAAAACAAATGAAGATTTCGTGTAATTTCACTTGACCTTTTGAAGTCGTGGTTAGCTGAGATAATCCAAACGCAAACAGATATAATCTCAGGTCAGAGCCAGAATAAATATCCATTTAAAATATAAAAGGAAGCCTTGTAGCCGACCTAATGGCGCCACAGGATCCCCAGTGCATTTATCTGCGCAAGACAACTTCTAATACACGTAGGGAAGATAAATAGATATCACTACCACAAGATATCAGAACATTTGAACATTTCTCATCATTTAAGAACAGTATTAATAAATTTTATCTTAATAAATTTAACGTGGTTAAGATAGATATATTGTCATGATATTTCATACCATTTGAGCAAAATTGTATAATTTTATATATATATATATATATATATATATATATATATATAGTCATCGATAACAGTGCTTACGTTGAAGCAGAGCAGGATACCATTTGAAACAGGCTTGTCGGGATAATTTTATATATATATATATATATATATATATATATATATATATATATATATATATGTTTTTTAATTGAGGAAGTTTATTTTTATAAAGAATCCTCGTATTCTGTATAAACTGACCCAATTATTCAGATCTTGTGATTTTTTTCATTTTTTTCTTTTTATTTATTTTAATTGTTAATTTATCTACAATTTGTATGTTAAGATCTGTATAATTAAAGTTGAGTAAATAAATAAATAAATATTTTAACGTAAAATGAAGATTAAAAAAACCCGTGGAGATCGGATGTCTGTCCAATGCAAATACGGAAAAGAAGATCTTAGAGTCGAATTTCGCGGTATTCCAGTCTCGAGCTCAAAAAAGCGCCAGACCTCAAAAGGAAAACCAATGATAAACAAATCAATCATTTATTGACGAAAGAAATTGTATCAAAATGTAAAAATTTATATAATGTAAAAAAGTATAAAAGTATAAAAATATTACTACGAAAACTGAAATAAAAAATAAAGTAACAAATTTAAGCTACGGTATAAAAATGAACACAATTTGGGCACAAAAAAGTGGTCACTCTAAAAATATATATAATGTAAAAGTAGAAAAGTATAAAATGTTATTACGAAAACTGAAATAAAAATGGTATAAAATATGGTTTATGGTCTATGGTATAAAAATTAACACAACTTGGGAGCTAAAAAGTGGTCACTCTGTAAAAATATATATAATGTAAAAGTAGAAAAGTATAAAATATTATTACGAAAACTGAAATAAAAAACAAAGTAACAAATTGAAGCTATGGTATGAAAATTAACACAATTTGGGCACTAAAAAGTGGTCACTCCGTAATAAGCGAATAACAAATCTGGAAATAGCTGAATATTTCTTGAAAAAATGGGAATTGATTGTGGCAATTAAATCTCAACGCTACTTTTCAAAATTTTGTTCTACTACAAAACTTCATACATCAGGTATTTTTCTCAAAACTGTATTAAAAAAATAATATTCTTCAACCTTGCTTTTTTATCATAGCTACTTAATATATATTTCAGAAGTCAGTGAATTAAATGAACGACATAAACGAATAAAATCTAAAAGATGGTAGAGAAAATGGTTCAAGCAGCTGTAGTTCTTGACATACATTACACATTCCTAAAATAGTTCAATAATGCAATGGTAATATTTAGCACAAATAAAAAGAACACTGAAAAAAAAAAAAAGAAAAACAATTGATTTCACGAAGAACCCCCTCTCCAGAAAATTCATTAAAAATCGTCAACTTCTTAAAGTTACAAAATAATATAAAATTATAATTGTAAATAGCTTGCTTCTTCGAAAGTATGTGCATTCAAATGGAGGGGTGTTCAGCGGCCTCGTCAAAAACAGGAACACTTGGCACTAGTCTCAATACAAACCGCCAATTAAAACTGTTATCCCCTATCACGTGAAACCTTGTAACCAGGTCGCTCCACTTCTAAATGAAGAGAGACCCTGGTAACGAGGTTACCGCTCTCTTCTTTCAAGGATTTGGAGGCGAAAATGATTGTCCAGATTATTCTGTACAAAATGACGGTCATACAGAGGAAGTGAAGTGTTCATAAAAAAATAATTGTTTAGATTATTTTCGGACAAAAAGACGATCTTCAGAGGAAGTAACGTGTTCACGAAAAAATTATTGTTCAAAAAGAAAGTAACAAAATACTCTTCAATACAGATACATTGAATGTAAACAAGATATGAAAAAGCCATCTGTAATTATTTTTTCTGATATTTTGTCTTTTACTACGACTTTATAAAGCTCCAGAATCGTTTAAAAATCTGCTCATCACGTTCATGAAAAAATTATTGTTCCAAAGTACGGGGAAAAAAATACTCTTCATTACAAAAACTTTCAATGTAAACAAGATATAAAAACAGACAACTGCAACCTTTTTTTTATACTTTGTCTTTAACTGCGACTTTAAAAAGCCTCAGAATCATCTAAAAATCTGCTCATCACTTTTTTTTAAGGAAAAAAAAACTCTTCAATACAGATACTGTGAATGTAAGCAAGATATAAAAACAGACATCTGCAACCTTTTTTTTATATTTTGTCTTTAACTACGACTTTAAAAAGCCCCAGAATCATCTAAAAATCTGCTCATCACGTTTTTTTAAGGAAAACAAATACTCTTCAATACAAGTACTTTGAATGTAAACAAGTTGTAAAAACAGACATCTGCAACTTTTTTTTTGTTGATATTTTGTCTTTGACTACGACTTTAAAAAGCTCCAGGATCATCTAAAAATCTGCTCATCACGTTCTTTTTATGAAAAACAAATACTCTTCAATACAAGTACTTTGAATATAGACAAGATATAAAAATTGACATCTGCAACTATTTTTTTCTGATATTTTGTCTTTAACTACGACTTTAAAAAGCTCCAGAATCATCTAAAAATCTGCTCATCACGTTTTTTTCAATTCAATTTTTGTGCAGAGGAAAATTAACTTCAGTTTGAAGGAGAACACATTAGAAATATCAACTTGCACGGGAAGAAAAGTGCAAAAGGCGTGTATGACTGATGATGGGCTGCAAGTGGCGAACCTGGAGATGAACAAACCGCGATAAAGCTCCAAAGCACTTCAGTATACAGGGAAAAAAAGAACGTCTGTATGTCTCAAAAAGCAAACCACGTTAGACTTTGGTGTTGTCGCCAGAGTGACGATCCTCAAGAGCGATTCCGTTTATTTCCAGATTCTCTTTTTCTTCATTTCTCTCGTTTTCTCCCAATTCCTCAGGGGTCACGTATTTATAGAAGTAAGACATGATGCCAAACACGATGGCGATCACGCCCATAAGACCTCCATACAAAAACATTTCCCTTTCCTACAGAAAAGAAAAGTTGTTATTTACAACCAATTCGCCTCTTTGTAAGGAGAATTCGAGACTCGCAAGAGCAATTTTCAGTTGAGTGTCCAAAAAATCCGACATTTCATTGGTTTTGATTAACTAACTTATGTGATTGGTCCACAAAACTCGAGACCCATTTTTTAACCAATCAGATGCAAAACCAATACCATTCACGACTTAACTACGTGCGTTTTCCCGCGCACAAGACGCGCTATGTGTATTTACTCGGAGTCCTTAATAATTCCTTTCTTCCCATGTGCCTTGCCTCTGATTGGCCTTTGTCATTATTGAGTTGATCCAGATTTGATGACACTCGGGCTCTTGCGGGTTTAAGGGTTAAACACATGCATTCGATCAAGGCAAGAATTGCTATACCATAATCAATTCGTGTTTCATGATTACATAACTCACCACGCCTATTGCTGGTAAAACGGAAGCCAAGATAACCACAATGAGGTCACCAAAAGCAACTGTTAGAAGCCAGAAAGACTGCAATACTGACTTCATGCTGGCGGGAGCCTGAAACACGGAGACGAGCATTGATCAGCCATGAGTATGAGACTGCCAGGAAAAATTCAAGACCTAGCTTTCTTGAGGTACCCTGGTTATGTGACCCTCCTCTTTGTCAACACAAATATTGAGAGTAGAACAACCAAAAATGCCAAAATGATCTCTCACAATATCCTGTCTATCCCCTTAATAATCAAGACACAAAAATACTATGCTTCCCACTCAGAAAAAAAATCCTATCTAACCCTTACAATCGAAAGGGGAAACAACACCTTCCCCACTCCTTCACGCTTTTCTCTAGTGCTCGTGTCCAGACTTTTTCGCCTCTTTGCAAGATGTTTATGAACACGCACGATCCGACAATGAACTTTCATATAAGCTACGAGCAGGCTCTCAGTAACGCTTCGACACGGATGGCGATGCTCGCGGAATTCGAGCCGGCGCGCAATCCGAGCGTGCGAGAGGAATGAAAGGGTTCTGATTCTCTTTTTTCGTGCCAGGCTCCTTTCAAACCTCCTTTGCACTCGCTGCATGCGCTGGCGCAAATCTCGCAACCAGTCCCACTAACATCACAACGCGAATAAGAGCCTACTCGTTGGTGGGCGGACGGATATGAAGCAACCTGGTCACCTGAGAGTAAGCAAAACCCAAACCAGTCACAGAGAACATGACTTCAGATGCTGTCAGCACGACATACTGTGGAATTTGGAGCAGTCGAGACACAGTTGTGCCTGGGGCATCCTCGTACATTGAAGTATCAAACTGACAAAATAGAACAAATAAGGGT